TGATCTGGTCCAACCTTTCTAAGCAAAACATGACCTAGACTAGATGTCCCAGCATCCTGTCCATCCAGTACTTAAAAGTATCCAACACTGGGGAATCCACCACTTCCCTGGGGGGATTATTCTCATTGTTTTCATTGTGAGAAATTTTCCTCTTGTGTCAAGTCGGAATCTCTCCAGGAGTAACTTGTGCCCATCACCCCTCATCTTTTCTATGTGACTCCTTGTAAAAAGGGAGTCTCCATCTTCTTTGTAGCCACCCTTTACATACTGGAACGTGATGATAAGGTCTCCTTGAGCCACCTTTTCTCTAGACTGAACAAACCCAGCTCTCTCAGCCTTTCCACATATGGCTTCCCAGTCCTTTGATCCTCTTTGTGGCCCTTCTCTGGACTCTTTCCAGCCTTTCCACATCTTTTTTGTACAGTGGGGACCAAACCTGAACACAATATTCCAGCTGTGGCCTGGCAAGTGCTGAGTAAAGCGGGATAATGACATCTTTATCTCTGCTGGTGATGCCCTTGTTGATGTAACCCAGCATCCTGTTGGGTTTCTTTGCCACAGCTGCACACTGTTCACTCACACTGATCTTGTGTCCTCCTGGACTCCTAGGTCCCTTTGCACAGATCTGCTCCCCACCCAGGCAGATCCAGGCCTGTGGTGCACTCCTGCATTGTGTTTACCCAGGTGCAAGACCTTGCACTTGTTCCTGTTGAACTTCATAAGGTTCTTGTTAGCCCACTCCTCCAGCCTTTCCAGGTCATCCTGCAGGGTGGCTCTTCCTTCTGAAGTACACACTTCCCCACCCAGCTTGGTATCATTCGCAAATCAGGATGCGTTCGATCCCATCATCTAGATCTCCTATGAAGGCATTGAGCACCTCTGGGCCCTGGTGAGGGATGGAAAGCTATGCCATCTTATGATGGCAAGCTCCTGCTAATTCCCAAACTGCCTGAACAGATGCACAAATGTATGTTCCTTCCTGTAGCTTTTACTCCATCACTGCCCCACAAAGTGGTCCTACAGACTGACACTCTGCACTTGAGTCCCCATCTCCACAGTGTTATGAGCTGGGGCCATCAGATGAGTTCTGTATCTGTAAAACCCATGTGTCCCATCTCAAGGGTGCTTCACCCTTGGCTGGAGCTTCAGAATAATACTGTAGATGATACAAGGGCTCTTACTTTCGTGAGACCCCTTCTATCATCTGCCAGCAGCTGGGTCCATGGTGGTTGCTCCTTGTGCAGCTTTGAATTGGAGCCAATTCTCACAGTGTATCTCAAGCTGGCAATCTGTTTTACCCCACAAACTTTACAGCATTATTTTTTGTTCTGTGTATTCCCTGCATTTCTCAGGGAAAAGACATTATGAATAGAGCTGGCTCAAATGTGTAATTTCCTTTTTACAGGAAATCCTGTTGTTCTGGGAAAAACCTTTCTTGCAGTTTGAAAGTAATCTTGGAAGTAGGCTTTAAAAAATGTCCTACGCAAGAGAGACCATCAGTATTTTCACTAAGAAAACCTGAACACAGGATCTGATTTTTCCAGGATATATGCAACATACATCTTGGAGCATAGTCCTGGTATGTGCTTCCAGGCTTTATACTCCCTCCCAGATCCCAGGCTATGAAAGCATTTGTCTGGTATTGAGCTTCCCTTGATGTTTCTTTGTTAAACACCATATTTTGCTAATACAATTGCTTCTCCTTACAAACTCAGCAGCATTTGGGTTATGGTTAAGATAGGCCTTATTTGATTGTAGTGCTTGCTGAAAATCAGGAGTATTTCATCAGAATCTTTTGGGAATGATTAAATATTACCAAAAATAAGCCTTGTGCTGAAGCTCAGGCACCACAACTGTCTGTGCATGGACTCGGGAGGTTCTCCAGAGGCGAAGCTCATACAGTGAACAAAATAGAACAGACATTTCTCTTTACTTCAAATGCTTATGCTCACTTTAACCAAGAAAGAGACCAAGTAAAGGTAGCTTGTTGAACAGGGAGATAAACATGTGCAGAGTCTTTCCATCGTCTGAATAAAGGAGAACTGCTCTATGAAGACAGTTTGACAAAGCAGTTACAAATAGGAATAGGACATGAAAATAGAGTTTTTTCCCCTTTCCCTTATATTTCATATATTTGGATATTTACTGTATGTTACCTGTGCTATACAGACAGGTTGGAACAAAGGAGTCTAAACATTATTGTTTCAGTATTACAGAGCAACACTTTAAGTTCGAAATGAAACGAGTAAAACATTAGCTAAGTGTAGCACAATGAAGCCATATATGAAAGCCTGAGAGATATGAATTACCTTTTGTTGGTTTAGATGATAACTTTCTAGGTTTATTTTTATGACACAAGAAACATTTCTCTACTGGGAAAATATCACACGACCCCATTTCTCTTTGATTCTCCAACTTAAAGGTTTCCTGAACCAGCTCTGGAAGGCGGAGGAAGCATTATTTTGTTGAATACCTGCTGTGCAGCTTTATTTACAGAAGCTCTTTGTTTGCAGCTGTTCTTAACTTAAATATATTGAGCTTCAAACAGGGCGCATCTTTGAAAGGATATAATTTAAAATGCTGCAGGCTAACGCTTCCAATTTGACTGTTCTGTGGCCTGCTGAATGTTACGGTTGAAGCAATGACACAAAGAAGGTATTTAGAGGAGCAGCAGCAAAAGATGTAATCGAAAGCCAGACGTGTTATTTTTGAACAGGTCCCCAGGCAGTGACATAGAATCATAGAATCCCAGCCTGGTTTGTGTTGGAAGGGATCTTAAAGCTCATCCAGTTCCAACCCCCTGCCATGGGCAGAGACACCTTCCACTAGAGCAGGTTGCTCCAAGCCCCTGTGTCCAACCTGCCCTTGAACACTGCCAGGGATGGGGCAGCCACAGCTTCTCTGGGCACCCTGTGCCAGCACCTCACCACTCTTGGAGCGAAGAATTTCTTCCTTATATCCAACCTGAATCTCCCCTGTTTAAGTTTGACCCCCTCACCCCTTGTCCTATCACTACAGCCCCTGATGAAGGTCCCTCCCCAGCATCCTTGTTGCCCCCTTCAGACCCTGGAAGCTGCTCTGAGGTCTCCACGCAGCTTCTCTTCTCCAGGCTGAACAGCCCCAACTTTCTCAGCCTGTCTTCATAAGGGAGGTGCTTCAACATAAGTTTGCTGACAAAAAAAAAAGCTCCAAAAATCCCCAAGTAAAGCAAACATCCAAAGCTATTAGCTGGTAGGAATCCTTTTGCTTTGCACAGGAGTAGAGGTGATGAGACAGGGCTTAGTGCTGGGCAGTGGTGCGTTCCCTGATGGTGTGCAAGGAGGTGGGAGGTCTCATTAGGATTCTGCAGAGGCAGTGAGGACAATCAGGTTCACTGTGCTCCTCAAGCTTTAAGGGGTGACACCAGGGTCTTTTCTCCCCAGCTCGCCACAGGCTTCATGCTGAGGTAGATTTAGGCAAACGTAATCGAATGCAAATCCTTTACTTGTGCTTCTGCTGCTTAAAATAACCACAAGCTTCAGGAAACCAAACAGAATCTGTCAGCTCAGAGTTATCTTTTACCTTGAATAAAATGAGAGGAGTCCTTGATTCAGGATGGCTCATACAGTGCTGCTGCGGGATGAAGTGGCTTTTCATTTCATGGCAAATTTTGACCCCATTGCACAGAATTGATGGAACCAGGCAAATCAGTTCTGTCCTTTGGGAAAATGTGATATTCAGTTCACTCTGTTACACACCTGTAGTAAAATTCTGCATCTAACCAACAGGCTGATGGAATGTATATTCAATGTATGTTCTGTTCATATGAATATGACACCATTGTTACTGCATTCCTTGCTCCCAAAAATAGGCTTCAAGAAGAAAGGTTTAAAAGCTAAAGTTTGGTCTCGGTTTTGTTTAAGAATAAATAAGTTTGATAGTTTTCTTCCCTGTGAGGGTGCTGAGGCGCTGGCACAGGGTGCCCAGAGAAGCTGTGGCTGCCCCATCCCTGGCAGTGTTCAAGGGCAGGTTGGACACAGGGGCTTGGAGCAACCTGCTCTAGTGGAAGGTGTCCCTGCCCGTGGCAGGGATTGGAACTGGATGAGTTTTAACGTCCCTTCCAACCCAAACCAGTCTGGGATTCTATAGTTTTCAGGTCTAGAAGAACATTTCCTAAGGCTGTATTCCTGTAAGAGTAAATGCTGTGTCCTTGTATAATTCAGGTCTTCACTTTATGTTTAGGTTACCCATCATTTTGTACAGTTGCTGCCTCTCAACCTTGCATTTCATTTGAATGCTTCCGTTTTGTGTGCTGCTGCTTCCTTGCTGGGTTGGCACCAACCCATCATGGTCCCTGTGGGGTTTGTGTCGCTGTGAGTACACGGTGCTACAAAAGGATTAGTGGTAATACCAGGACTTTACAGGTTGCCTCACCTTGTGTAACAAAGCCAGACACTCACTGTCTGAAAAGGGGTTTGGTAGAATTCTGCTAAAAATAGAATGCAGTATTTCCATGGGGAAGAATGCACAAGGATTTGCTGTACCTCAGGTATCTCCATGTTTGCTTTCTTACCTGTAGGAGCACGCACAGTAATCTGATGCTATTTTGGATGGGGTTTTTGATGAAGCTGTGAAATTCTCTTGGGAAGATCCTTCTTTTTGTGCCAAGGGAAGTTGTAGAGACTAACACAGGGCAGTCAGTGTTGTCTGTGTGGTTGAGCCACCTTCACGCTGGATATCAGGCTTTGCAGGACAGGTTTATTTCCAAGTGTGTGTTCCCTTTTGTAACACAAAGATGCCTAAAGTGACATAAATACTGGTATACGAGGAAGACTATGGCCATGGTACTCTGCTCTAGAAGCCATTCTGCAATGTAAAATCTCCTTTGGGAAACGCAGAGCTAGCCTGGCAGCGGAGGTCTATGCCACCAGCTCTGAAAGCCCTGCATTTCCAAGCGTGACCCACAAAGATTCATCTTCACCCTGCTCACGAGTCTCTCATTTGATTTTCCCCAGGAGCTCTGACTCCGAAGAAGCATTTGAGACCCCGGAGTCCACTACACCGGTAAAGGCACCACCGTCACCTCCACAGCCACCCCCTGAAGCAGTGGCGGCGGCAGCAGTTGTAGCTGACATAGCAGAACAAGAGATCAAACCTCAGCTGCCCTTGGAAGACACAGGTAAAGAGCATGTAGTATATGGGACAGGTTACTGAATTGGTTGAAGCTGAGGGAGGTGTTTGTGTAAGCCCCAGGAAAGGAATTGATGCTGATAAAATACCTTCTGGGAGATATTTTAGTGCATGCTGGGCATTATTCATGGTCTGAGGAACAACCCTATCACCTCCTGGAATAAAGAATCTCTTCATCTGACAAATATTGAAGAAGAGAGGTGCTTTGTAAAAAAAAACCACCCAATTTCTTCCTTTTCAATCAAACTTCAGTCCACAGGATCTTTACAGAGTCAGATGAGTAGGAAAACGGGGTATGAGCTACAGATGGAGGTACCTGGGTGAGCACTGTTAACTAGATCACTTAACAATGTTGTTTTCAAATCTGTTGTCACCTCAAGCAGAAGATGAACAAAAAGCCCATCAGAATAATAGAAATATTGATATTAGCTTTACAGGAGGAACTGGGGAGTATGTGAGAATATATGTACAATATACATACATAAATTGGTACACACTGTGAAAATAATGCTTTCATAAGTGAATATCATGTTTAAAAAACCAAAGAAATCCTATCCACCAAATTGAGTAATGGAATATGAGGGAGTAGAAAGCACTCCTTTAGCCCAAAATAGCTTTGTTTGGGCTGTCAGATGACAGCTCAGCAGTTTGACATTGAGTTCCTCGTTATGCTGTCTTCTTTCCTATCTGAAAGTCAAGTCATCTTGATCACCTGGCTAAATCATATAAAGGTAATTTTCTTCCCAGCAGACAGGAGCTCACTTGTATTTCATCTGGGAAGATGTACAGCACTGCCAGGTAGCGTTTTAATGCTTCCATTTATACTCCAGAAGTGGTTCGTGCTTAGCAGAGGGCAAAGCGATGTCCAGGGCTGGTGTGTGTATTATAAAGGTTGTCCAACTTTGATTGAAACCTTCAGGGCAAAGAAGTGTTGCAAGTGTCTCGAGCCACCTAAAGCATTTCTGGGAACTATGCGTTAAGGAATGCTCTTTAAAAGCATGATTTATGAGATAAGTTTACAAGAAGCTGGAAAGATCTTCGGCACGCTGACTTCACAAAATAGAAATTAAATACTGAGACATCCTGACACTTCTTCCTTCAGCTGCTACAGTTTCCTCTTCATTATAACAAACATTTCCCATTCTCTATCTTCTTCTTCTTTTTCCAATCTTTTGCAATCTAATGATTACAAAATAAGCACTATGAGAACAAAAGAGCACATATGCTAAACAGGACTGGAGTGTGGTTTTAATTACTGCAATAAATTATCCTCAAACCCTTGATTACACATGTGCTTCCCTGGCACACATGCTTTTTGTCTCCCTCCATCCCACATCTCCCCCTCCTTTCTTTCACATATTTCTGGACAAAGGTAGGGAACTGAATGTATCTATCCTTAGCTGGTGTGAACTATACTGAACAGTGGCAGAGATGAAAACATTCCCCTTGCAAATAAGATTTGTCCATGGGAGGCCAGCTGCCACAAACCAACAGAGCTAAACTCAGCAGTGCAAAATGCAGTTGTACAAGAGGGTGGTTTGAAGGAAAGAAGGCAAGTAATATAGGTTTCAATAAATGAAGGTGTAAAGAATATGAGCAACCAGAGAGCCCGGCGTGCACAGGGAGAGGCAGGGATGTCCAGCTGGGTTTCTGGTTCACCAGCTACATGGCTTTGTCTTCTATGTGAGGCTGGTGACAGAGCATGTGTTTGGGTGGAAGGAGGAACCGTAGGAAGTTTTTAAAGGGTTGTTTCATCTATATCTGATAATAATTACTCGTGCAGAAGAGTTGTGCTGCGTGATATCATTAACACAGCAGCTGGACCCCACTGCTGGAAAACCAAGAGGAGAGTTCTTAATTAGGTTGACTTCAACAATAGCTTGGTAAATATGATGAAAGGGAAATACAGCTATACCCTTCCTGGGGTTGTGCCAGCTCCTGGTGGGGTAAAACCTGCTGCATGGCTCCAGGCCAGCAGCAGCAGAGCAGGAGAGGGGACTTCGGTGAGCCTGGAGGGGAAGAGGAGTAACAGAGAATGTGTGGAAGCTGCCTCTGAACCCCATAAAGTGTTACTAGTGCTTTCCATTCCTCCATAAATTGTTTGTTGTGGGGAGCGTGGGCTATATTCTTGAGACAAATGACTTTGAGGATACTTTATTTTTTTTAATTATTGTTAATATTTTGGAGATATTTTAAACCATCATCGCCTATCTCGTCAGTTTCTCATAGCAGTCGTCTTTGTCCCTCATTCCAGCCAGCTGAGCACCAGAAAGTGCTCCAAGACTTCCCTCCCAAATATTCCCTGTTTCTGGCCAGGAATTCCTGCCTAGGCAGGGGCATTTCTTCTGCTTCTCTCCCCTTCCCCTCTCCCCACCCCCAAATAATGAATTCAGATTGTATACACAGGGGAGATGTGAGAGCTGAAGTCCCCTCTATGCATTACTGCCTGCCAGTCAGGATGTGGGGGACTATATTAAAGTCCTTCTTGTGCCAGGGAAAATGAGGTCAGGCTTTCCAATAGAGGGAGATGATGATCCAGACATAAACAAACCGAATTTTTGGTATGGAAAACATTCTTCAGCGTTTATCCTCTTGAAGCCTGACAGAGAAGAATTTAAAATAACCTGTATATGAGAGTTTTCTCTCAGAATAAATGACAAAAGTGTTCTTAAAGTTTTTTACAAAGCGCTGCTACATGATTTCATAAATTCAGAGGCTTCTCTTGACAGGCTGAGAGAGCTGGGCTGGGGCAGCTGGAGAAGAGAAGGCTCCTGAAGGGGACACCTTAGAGCAGCTCCCATTTGCAGCCTCTTGGGTCTCCCCCTGTTTTAGAGGTATTCCAGCAGTATCTCAGCATTCCACCATTACAGCAACTTGCTATAATTTAAAGAGAAAAATGTCTTTAAATAGCTAGAAATACTTCATATGTTTTAACCCCTTAATTCTGTATTTCTTTTCTAAGGCTGTAAAAAGATCTATATCCCAAAACCCATCCTGATCTAAACCTACAAATGGCTCCCATCCATTCATATTCTATATAAACAGTGGTAGCAATGGAATTAACATGTTATATCCTCATCAGCAGACAGCTCAGACCACATGCGTAGGGTTTGTTACTCTTCTGGTCATTTTATAGAAGCACAGAATGCTTGGGCTGGAAAGAACCTTAAGATCATCTAGTTCCAATCTCCTGCCATGGGCAGGGACACCACACACTACACCATGTCACCCAAGGCTCTGTCCAGCCTGGCCTTGAACACTGCCAGGGATGGAGCATTTACTTATAGATCTTTATTTAACAAAGGCTGAGTTAAATCAGGGATGTGTCTACCTCACTGTTCTTGTGGAACATTGAAGCTTTGCTGGCGTCCACGTGGCATCAAAATCTTGCGATGTACAACAAAAGATTCCCGCAGTTGACTAGAAATGGGCTTGGAATTTTTGTGTTCCTTTTTATTGAGACTAACAACAGAAATTTTTCTTTATTAATGAGAACAGTTTTATAACACCTTTCTAGCAACTTTTGCTTCAGCCATAACAGTACCAGGTGAAAATGCCAAGGGTTGTTTTAGGTTTGGTTTCGGAATTGTTTTTGGTTTTCATACATGATCCAGGTAAAATTTCTCTGAAATTGGAGAAATTGGCTTATGGAAGGAGCAGAACTTGGACCTTCTTTCTTAATTAATAAAATGGGGGTTTATTTTCTGGGATTCCTGGTTTCTGAAGGCAACATAAGTACTTGCAGTGCTTCATAAAACTTAGTATCTACCTGTGGGCAGCTCTCACCAGTATAAATTGTGGGTGACTGTCAGCACCAATAAAAAGCATAAACCTTATTTAAAACCTTGTACTGTCCCCTCTACAGGGCAAGTCCTGCCTTCATTTCCACAGCTTGTGTTGTAGCATGTTCCTTTACAATCAGATTGCATTTTAGTAAAATCCTGTAATTAGTAATGCTGATTTGCTTTATTCTGTGATGTAAAAGGACAAATGGCAGTGCTGTTAATGTCAGCGAAGAATGGTCTTCTTATCTCTTTGGCCTAATAAAGCCATGCTGTTTTGCAGTTGTGAGTACCATTCATATCTTCCTATCCAGCCTTTGCGCTCATACTAGTCCCAAGCCAGTTCTGCTGTAATGCCAGCAGAGTCTAGCAGCAGCATTTCCCTCCTCCCAAAAGCCATGTTTTCTGAGCCAGCTTCACATATTGTTTCATAAAGAAACAATACAAGTATCACTGTGGTGAGTCGAGCGACGCTCTGCAGAAATGTGTACTCTTAAGTAAAGGATTTGATTAGGAGGAAGATGTGAAATAAGCAATTAAAGAAGATTAAAGCTCTGCACTATGCGGAGCACACCGAATTTGAATCCTACTTTGCCTTGAGTAGCTGGAAAGCCTTGTATGTTCTGTTTGCTGCTGTGATGCATTCCCAGCCTCAGCTCTATCGTGCCTGTTATTTACAGTCCAAGCCCTGCAGGGCATTGCTTTGGTTTATTTGATTTTATTTTGTTTAAAGATGTGTTTGTACTGACTTTGAATAAGGGGCCTCAATCCTGTTGAGGCCTTTGGTGCACACTGGAATGAAAACAATGAGTAATTGCAGACAACTTCTTGTTCAGATCCCCCTTTCATTTTGTGCTGACCTACATTTGTACTCTACCAATGTATTAGAGCTACACCAGTGTTTTATTGTCACGTACTCCCATAAAGCACCTTCCATTCTCATTTCAGTGTAAAACGTTCAGATTAGCCTAATGCTGGAGTCTTATGATGCTCTTTGAGCAGCCCCCATAGCAGAAGATCCATCAGTGTCAGAAAGTGATGTGTGTGTGAATCGAGCACCGACTCAGCTGGCAAATCAAGTCTAACTAATAGCCTCCCAGCCTGGCTAAAACCAAGCCCAACCCAGTGGTAATTAAGGAGAAAAAGAAACTGTCCTGAAGTCCTGCCACATCACTGGCATTCGTTTAGCAGAAAACACGTTAAAAGATCATTTTAATTGATGTGACTTAGTAAACTTCCACAGTCTTAAAAGAGAAACTGTGTAGTTGTCATTCCTTTGACAGCCTCTGGAAATACATCGGGCTGCTCGAAGGTATTGCTTTGGGAAATGTGTCCAATTTCCTTAAATCTGTTCTGTCTTCTATATCCATAAATAATAATTCTTGCAATCCCTATGCAGACATAATTGCCTCTGAAACAAAGGAAAAATGGGGAGTTTTCTGTTCTTAATCCATTCATAGCTTCTGACTAAATCGATTGACTGTATTGCTTTTATGAACCACATTAATGAACATGGCTGGGCAAAATGGGAATTATTTTGCAAAACATACCGGGACTGGAAAGAAAAAGATGTGTAGAAATTTCCCTGAAATCATTTACGGATGAGCAAAGCATTCATTTTTGTTTGACTGTTTTTCTCTATAATTGCATAATTTATAAAAATGACAATGTGAAGAATTCTGTGTTACTTCAGTAGGAAACACGGGGCTATTTTGCTCCAGGATGTATGAGTAAGAGCTCAGAGGAGCTGACTTGAACTCCCCAGCTTGAACTATGAGCTGGAGAGAGATTTCCCAGGTGTCTTATACCCTGAGCAGGTCACACACACACAGGCAGAGGTGACTGTGTGACATTCAGGTAGTGGCAGTGACAGAGGGAGGAAACCCCACATTCAGGATTTAGAAAACACTTGAGCAATCAACTCTAATGAGCTGTAAGGCAGCAAGGACCATCATCTTAATACTTTCCTCTCTGGATATTTTCTATTCATTTTTTTATATGCATTTTATCATTTTCTACTTTTTCCAATATACTTGTTATACCCTAAGTCAAGAGTCTCGTATAAATCATTTTGTGATTCCATTCAACAAGCAAACCTTTAATTAGAATGAAAAGCTGCATGGATTAAGAGTTTCAGCATATAATTCTCTCTATAAAATTTTCTTTTCATTGATGAGTTAGAACTACACTTGGAGAAATCTGTTATAAATCATCTGTAGGGAGCTTCCTGTGGCCTTTTTAAAGGAAGATTTCAAATTGAGAATATTTCTACAGTTCTAACTGACTAATGCTTTTACCTTTGCCATCATTTATTTCATGTGAAATTCTCAATGATTTATGTCTCATTATGAGCTCGGAATGATGAGGTCAACATGGAGTGTATTGACTGCTTTGGGCATATGGAGGAGCAGCATTGACGGGTTGTGGAGAGGAAGCCATGTTCCTCTGGGAAAACTGGTAAAAATAGCACATGGGAAACAAACCTTAAGATCAACATGTAATTGCTGAAGCACCAGTCCATTTCGGGGAACGTACTGCATTAGAGCTCTGACACAACTGTGAGAACTCTTTATAACAGCAGAAAATGCAAGTAATAAAGTGCTTGATATTAAGTTTTTCTGGTATTTGGCATATTCATCTAAATGTTATGGTAATATTAATTTCTTTAAGTGATAATTAGTTTAGCAGAGATGCTCTAGAGGCTGTTGCAAATGCATATTTTGTGTTTTGATGAAACTTGCCTTATATCCTTTTCTGGAGAGAACAGAACTATTTTTTCCCTTCATCTAGTTCATATATTGGAAATGTTACTTTAGTTTCTACGTCCTTTCATCATTGGTTAGTCCATTCGTATGATTTTAACCTTTTTTTTTTCCTTTTACTTGTTGTAATATTAAATTTTAGTAAAACTGATTAAGTTCCAAAAACATGTTTAAAATTCGCTGAGTTTTCTGTTTGTTCCCACAGGATCATGTTCAGAAGCTGCACCTGTAACTGATGTGTCACACAGCGAATCAGTTGAAGAAAGCCCTTTCCGTCCCCCTTCCCACTCTTTTTCCACCGTCTTCGATGAGGACAAGCCAATAGCCAGCAGTGGAACTTACAACTTGGACTTCGATAACATTGAGTTGGTTGATTCTCTCCATGCCTTAGGACCAAGCTCTCCAGAATCAAAGAATCGTGACCCCAAAGCAAATGTGCGAAGAAAATCTACTGATTCACTCCCAGTTTCCAAATCTACGTTGTCTCGATCTCTTAGCTTACAAGCTAGTGATTTTGATGGAGCATCTTATCTTGGCAACAGTGAGACATTAGCACCGGCAGCAGATGTGTACGGTACTGGTTCAAGCAGTGCTTCTAGTACCCTTAAGAGAACAAAGAAATCCAGACCAGCTTCCTTAAAAAAGAAGCAGCCAGCCAAAAAACCTCTGGATGCTCCACTGGTGAAGGAAACACCGCAAGAACCGCCTGACCTTGGCCAAGCTGACTGTGACCCAGGTGAGGATAAAGCAGCATCTGAAGCTAAGGCTGAGTCGGTAAGGCCTGAATGTACTGAACCTTCTAAAATCTCTGCTGAGAAACAGGAGGCCCCACCTGTGCCTGAAGGATCCCACCCTTTGGATCCAGACAGTTTGGAAGGGATTAGTGCATTTAGCACTGGAGGCAGCAAGGTACAAAACTCTCCCCCTGCCAATAAGAAACCACTACCTCTTACGACGGCACCGGAGGCTGGAGAGGTGACTCCACCTGATACTGGAGGACAAGAAGACCCTCCGGTCAAAGGCGTTGCAGTGAGGCTGGAGTTTGATTACTCTGAAGAGAAAGGGGTGAGTGAAGACCAGCAGGAGAGTACTCCTCCTCCCAAAAAAGCAGGTAAAAAGCCTGGTGCTAAAATGCCACTAAGGAGGCCAAAGACTAAAAAGTCAGTGGAAAAGCTTGACAATGCTCCTACAACACCGACTAAGTCACCCACTGATCCAAACGAAATCCCTATCACAAAAGGCTCTTACACTTTTGATATTGACAAGTGGGATGATCCCAATTTTAACCCATTCTCATCTAGTACAAAAATGCAAGAATCACCCAAACTGCCTCAACAAACGTACAGTTTTGAGCCAGACGTGTGTGAGGACTCTATTGACCCTTTCAAGTCTTCTTCCAAGATAGCCAGCTCGCCCTCTAAATCTCCAGCTTCCTTTGAGATACCAGCCAGTGCCAATGAAACAAATGGAACTGAAGGAGACAACTTGAATAAACCTGCAAAAAAGAAGAAGACACCATTAAAAACGTAAGTTAAAGGGCGCTCTTATTTCTAGATCAGAAGCAGCACGTTCCTACTCCTTAGCACAGGTACACCCAGGTTATATTTGTATAGAGAAAGGAAGGTGATGTTGAGCGTTGGTGGCCACACAAGTGGACTCATGCTGGAGGTCTGTACGTTCTCTTCCTCAATAGCTTGATGCTTCCAGATCAAAGGAGAGAACCAGGGCTACACCAGGCCAGATTAGGCCACTGGGCTGGAGGCTGGATTTTAGAAGTCTCGGTGTAGCTTTCATTCAATCACAGAATGGTTTGGAGTGGAAGAGACCTTAAGCTTTGAATCTGATTAAGTCCTAATATTATCAATTTTGTGCCAAATTTTCTGTGACCTCACCCTGGGGATTTGAAACTATTTAAGATGATCAGAGTCTTCACACCAGAAAAGACTATAGTAAGGCAATGACAAAGCTATTGCACACAGCAGGAAGATGGTTTTATGCAGTGATTTATGGTAGTTAAAAGAAAACAACCTGTAACTGAAAAATGCAGTATTGAATTCTATTTTTTTTACATACAAGACTAAACACATGAAAAATTTCCTTTCTGTGAAGGAGTTTACAGTTCTGCAGAAGGGTTTAAATCTTGGGTGCTACACGTTACAGAAAACATCCAGCTTTTAGACACAAACATAAATCTTCCAGCTTGTTGTATTTAGCTATTTGGTTAAAAACCTCAGTGGCTAATGTGTCATGCATCAGTTCCGTGGTTAACTTGTTGCTGTGCCTGTTACCTTCTCTGTTCAGACATGGCAATGTCTAGTTGGTAGTCAGTAAGTTTATCTCCCATTTATCTGAAATCGATATCCTATGTGTATCTATAAGAAAGTATCTCAGTGCATGTCCCTTTCTAGTATAAATGTTTCAGCTAGCTAACAAAAATGTGAATAAAAAAGGTAAAAAGTCTGGCAATTTGAAGATAACATGGTTGATGCAAGACATGACCTCCCTTACAGAGGGAGATGGAGATTATTGAGTCATTTCTGAGCAGCTTGCTGCCCTCTAGGCTTCTAATTCACATCTCTTGCCAGATTTGAGGAAGCTTGTGCTATTTGCTTCTTTTTAGGAGCATTTCTGACTTCTGGGAAGTGTAATCGGGTTGTGTTTTTGTGGGAGGAGCCTGGTTTTTGTGATTTTTCTTCTTTTTGTGGTATGCCTGAAACTTAGAAGAAATTAAGGTGGGAGTTAAGACGCATGCTAGGCTGGCACCTTTTCAAAGCGTCCACTCCAAGCTGGCTTGATCCAAACCAAGACTTCAAAGTCTGACTGCAAGAGAGGAACAATTTGAATCTTACTGGGGAAGTGCAGAGGAACAGAGGGGAATTTTAATGTCACCAAGTCTGGTACTTGCAGCCAGCCAGTCTCCTTGTGCCTTCAAGTACATGCAGTGGTGTTGACAGCCCCCCAGTGAAAACTTCCTGGGTCTTCCCATCTGCTGTGAATATTAGAATGAATTCCAAAGTTGTTAATTTAGGGGCTACATGAGTTTGTACCAAGAGCTTGCTAAACTTCATCTGTCCTTGGAAAAACCCTGTTGTACAGTCACAGAGTTCACTGTGGGGTTTTTTCATGGTGGAAGAAGTGAAGCCACCCTAGAGCAGGGCTCGCAGGTTCTTAGGTCAGGGGGCTTGCAGGGATTCCCAGCCCTTGCTTGGGACTGCTTTCACTGCAGCGTGTAATGTGTCTGCTCACTGCAGCCCTGTAACCTACTTCTGCAAGTGGTTTATCAAAAGAAGAGAATCTGCATATTAACACACAGTGCAGCCTGCAGCCAGAATACGTCCTAGAAGAAAATTAGCCTAAGAGTTGTTGGGGGATGCCAGGGGAAGCAGTGGCTTTGTTTGTCTTTGCCTCACTCTGGTATCTCTTCTCCTTCAAAAGAGGCCTCAGCATTTCTTCTCTGTGGGGACCAGTGCAGGAGACCCCATGCCAGGCAAGGAGATTGAGGTGTAAGATCCTTCTTGGCAATGCTCTTATGGTGGGGCAGGAGAGAGAAGCCACTGCAAAGCACTTCAGTTCCAGGGGTCACAAAGGAAGGTGTTTGAATTAGGAAATGGTACTGTAATACACCAGACTTCTAAAACTTAATTAAGGGAATTTAAACCTAATTTTGCAAAGCCAGGAGTTTTTATTAGCACTGTTGAGAGGTGCAGAAGTAAAACTCTGTGGACCAGTTTGAAAATCTGTTCCTCATATGGAATGACAGCAATTTCTAGGTTAGAGCTATAGGAGGCAAAGAAGCCAGGCATTAGTAATGCGAACAGCAATGCTAAGTTTGTACTATTTGGAATCTATGCCATATGTTAAGGTCTTACCTGTGTTAAATCAAGAAAAAATAATCAGGTTTTATTCTTGAATGCAACCTGCAGCAGTCTAAGCATTGACCTCCATGTGAAAAGATGAAACTTTTAGAAGAGAACAGCTCAACACAAATGACTCTCTAGTTGTATACCTAAGTACTGAGCTGTTCTGAGATAGATCATGTTGCTCAGATGATTCTGAACAAAGAGCAGCTGATTCCTCCTGAGTGCCTGTTTATAGTGAAGGGTAAAAATAGTGACTTGTATAGACATTGCTCTCAAAGCTGCTGTATGACCGGAGGCTGTGTTTAGAAACACGAAGTGCCAGCTTTCAAGAGCATTGCATGTGAGAAGAGCCGAGCAGAAGCTGCCAAGCTTATCAGTAGGAGAAAACTTTTCTTAGCCTAAACTGTTTGGCAAGGTTTGCTTCTGGTTTTGAGACAATCCATTTGTTCTGACACAACACAAGTGAGGTTTCAGTGAGAGCTAAAAGAAATGAGATTTATTTTTATAAAAGCAAGTAGGGACAGGACAAGGGCAATGGCTTGAACCTGCCAGAGGGGAGATTGAGGTGAGCTCTGAGGCAGAAGCTCTTCCCTGTGAGAGTGCTGAGGCGCTGGCACAGGGTGCCCAGAGAAGCTGTGGCTGCCCCATCCCTGGCAGTGTTCAAGGCCAGCTTGGACACAGGGGCTTGGGGCAACCTGCCCTAGTGGAAGGGGGGGAGGAACTGGATGAGCTTTAAGGTCCTTTCAACCTAAACCAGTCTGGGATTCTGTGAAATGTCATTTTCTTTCTTCAGGCAGGTACATGATTTGAAATGGTCAAGTAGCTTTCTTTTTACTGTCGTAACAAATCAGCAAACATGAAGAAACCCTTGCCTAACTGTGCTCTTCCCTTAAGCTTAGCTGCCACTGAAGAACAGTTCTACATCCAACGTGATAACGAGTACTTTGTTTTGAAAAGAAAGCAGGTGGCTTCCATCAGGGAAGGCAGGGATGGTCAGTATGTTGAAAGGAACTTGGAGGCGACAGCTTTGAATAATGTGTTTTGTAAGATGAAAGCGGGTCAAAAGTATAACATTGAATTTGGAAACAATGAAGGACTTGAATGTTTTCTTTTTTCTCCCCATGTATTTCACAATAAAAGTAGATGTTAAGATTATGCAGGTAGAAAATATGCATGATCAGATTGCCTTAACACATTAACATTAACAGAGTATTTGTAGGTTTATCTTTTTTGTCAGTTCCTTCTGTCTGTCTCTCTTTTCTTTGTCTTATTTGTCTTAGGATGGTAGAAGATGTGATGTCTGTATGTTCTCTGTTGTAAGTAATTCTAAGCTAACAATTCAAGTTTCCTCTTTGATTTATGGGCTTTTTAATTTTACTTATTTAATTTGCAGCATGATCAGTTGCTATTCAGCATGAAGCTTTTATGTTACCTATTTCTTTTCACTGGCACATGTGAAAGCTGTTTTCAGTAAGATGCCTGGCTGTGAATGATTTTGAGGAAGCTATTGCCTCTTTCTCTGTTTGCCTGTCAAAGAAGATCCTCTTTGAAAAATTATATAGCTTTTGTATCCTTGAGCTAAAATACGATAGTTGTGTTTCTACCATAGTACAACAGCATTGTACAATTAGTCTTTTGTAAATACTGTATAAAGAGTTTCTCCTGCTTAAACGAATAATAAGGAGCAATTCTTGCATCAAAACTGGATAATGAGTAGCATCAAACGCACCAATATTCAGCTGTCCAATTTATTTTCCCCTTTAGATGTAGTATTGATTTACCCTCTACTGATTGAAACCCACCATTATTATACCAATCTTGCTATCATTGATCAGGGATGAGCTGGTGGGCCGCAATTTTTGTCACTGCATCTCAGTTCAAACATAGTCTTTATCAGTGAGTTGCTGTGATATTTTTCTCCCTCTTCCTAGTTAGTAACATAAATGTGTTTAAATAACTGGCAAAATGCATCAAGAGAAGAGGTAAATAATTGGCTTATTTCCTGGTTAGAAAATATTTTTAACCAATTGTGAATAAACATAAAGGCAACATTCATAATTGTATACCAGGACATAATGTATGTTCTTCATTCCTTTTGCCTGTGGGATTTTGAAGGGCTCCAGTGTCTGTGCTCCCAATCTGCACTTTGAGCTGTCAAGGGAACTGAAAGCAGAATTGCCGTATCTGTTGTTGTATTTGTTTGAAAAAGGGTCTGTTATATACATTTATAACGATAGAGCTTTGTTCTGGTCAGAACAGCATCTCCCTCAGCTGGTTTCACGTAGTTCATCCAAAACATCCCAATTTTTTTCTCAGTGGTTTATGGGGTCATCAGTGCTTACTGCTCAAGTTCATCACCATTGTATTTCTCAGGTTAAGATGTGATTTAGACCTAATTTTCAGACAGGAAACTGGAGCAGATAGAAGCTAAATAATTTGCTTAAGGGCGCTGAGGATGTCTGTGCTGGAGCAGGGACTTGAATTGCAATCGAGCAGCAACTCTGTTCTGTAAATGTGTCGGTGCTTAGCATGAAAAATATGGCAATCCTGCTTTTCTCAGCTTTTGGGGAATGGAGGTCTGTTCCAAATGCATGACAAGAATACGTACCTGTGGCATGTTTCTCTGTGGTGCTGCTGCCTATTGGATGGGATTTTAAAGCAGATGGGCTTAGAGAGGTTGCATTGTCTGTGGCTGTTGTGCTGAGTGTGAAATGACCTGAGTCTTGCTGGTGTTACCATATTAACGATTTTAACTTTGTTTTCAGTGATACATTTAGGGTGAAAAAATCACCAAAAAGATCCCCACTATCTGATCCTCCTTCTCAGGTAAAGCGCTGCCTTATTCTGATGCATGTAATGTGTGTTCTTGTAGGGGCAAATATGGGAAACTTGTTTTATTTAACTGTAGAATTTTACATTTGGCAATAGAAGAAGCTTTTGTAAAGAATATAAGCATATTGGTGTCCAAGTATAGCACATTGGGTTATAATCATAAGGTATTAAGCTTTTAGTTTCTAGAAGCATGTATACAATGTATATTAGATCTAGAATTTGCTCTGAGTATTCCAATTAGACTGTTGGTAAATGCACTTCAGAAGGCCCTATATTACAATAGAGTGATGATATGAATAAATATCTTCAGTTGTCTGAAAAACAGACATAGCTATCTACCCTGGAATTTTTAGATTAGAAAGTAAGAAACTAAATGCATCAAGTTGGTGGGCTGGATGGGAAATAGAAATAAACCAAGTGGGCTGATCTACCAGGAACATGTGCTTGGATGGTTTTATTCCTTGTTGTAAACTGCTCGCAGGTGGTTTTCTTGGAAGAGAAGTTCACAAAAGCTGTTCTGCCTTACAAAGGCCTCACTGCTTTGATGTGCCACAGCTCCTTCCACGCTGCTGTTCATCTTCCTGCTATCCATCCTACCCTTTTCTTTGTGCTGCTTGACAGCACAGAAGCGAAGAAAGGGTTCATGACCTCACAGACCTACGAAGGTTTGTCCCTGTGAGGGAAGCCTAAAAAGTCAGTTTTGGTAGTCAAAGACTTCAGTCATGGGTGATGTTTGCCACTTACGTCAAGTGTCTAACAGCTTTAAACAGCTCTGGTTTCTCCTTCTTCCCTGTTCTCAAGGAACCTTTGCAATGCAAGTGTTTATCATGAAAGAGTTTAGTTATCCTGGGAAGACTTGCTGCCAGTAGAGTACCAAATGACGTACTTGAAGTATTTTATACAGAGCCGCAGCATAGAGTGTGGATTAAATTAAATTACAATTAAAAAGATGACTCTGGTCAGGCAAAGGAACTCAGAGAGTTCAACGTGTTAATGAAAGATAACGGGATTAATTGGCACTTGTTTTCTGCAGGATGCCACTCCACTGCCAACTCCAGAAACACCTCCCGTCATATCCACGGTGGTTCATGCGACAGATGAGGAGAAACTGGCGTCTTCAGTGACTAGTCAGAAATGGACCTGCATGACTGTGGACCTGAACACGGATAAGCAGGATTACCCACAACCCTCTGATCTGTCTACATTTGTGAATGAGACCAAGTTCAGCTCTCCTACAGAGGGTATGCTTTGTATAAAGGGCTGTCTGCATCCAGCTCGTGCTGTATTTATTGAGGAAAGGGTTTGGTTTATTCGAAGATGTTGGCATGTACTTCGCTTAATAGAAACTGCATTATTTGGGAACCCTGAAAATGATGCTCTTTGGACCAGTCCAAGGAACTTGTCAGTTATGGGGAGCTGAGTGTAAGACCCCAATAGTCCGACCTTGAGTTTTCAAGGAAGAGCAGAGAGGAAGCTCAAAGGAAAATGAAAGGAGTCGTCAGAGAAAGGCTTTCACTTCCTTTATATGATTAATTGTAGCATGCTCTGTTCTTCTGTGCATGCTACTTGTTCTCTCTGTGCTTCACAGGAGACTGTGGTCTGACACTGCCCTCAATTAGTGCTTTTAGATCCAGAGTCACTGAACTACTGGTTTTGCCTGAGCCTGTTCCACTAACCTGAACAGGAGACAATCCCAGCTTAAAACTCTGCTCAAAGTTTGTCTGTTGCATACAGGCCCTTCACATGCCATCTCTCCTCCAAGTTCCTAGTATCCAGGTATCTCTATGCATAAAAATAGCCAGGATATCCCCTGCATACAATAGTTATCATTGATGTGCCAGAAAAGATTTCCTTCTAGATCAGCTTATTAAGACTTTCTCCTGTCATACCTTCCTGTGAGCAGCGGTGAGCTAAAGAACTGTCATTGCAGGTCTCTGAAATATGGAAGAGAGGGAATTTAGGAAATGTGTGTGGCCTTCCTTCAGGTTCCTGGAGGGAATACAGCTTTGCAACATCTGCTCTGCTCCAAGGGCAGCTTTTCAGCTTTGTGGGTGGGAAAAATGTATGACTTTAACTTGGCTGAAACTTTCTTTGTGATCAGAATTTATTCCCCCCCAGCCTTTCAACCCATGTCCCAGCCTACCACTGAAGCTACTTGATGCCATTTTAGACTGGGTCTGAGGAGTTTTTGCCTAATGAAGAACTGCTAAGCTCTTAGGTCAAATGTGTTTGACATTAAAAGGCAGGAATAATCACAGTGTTTTTAATGGGACTGCACATGTTCACATGCACGTGCTTATGTGTTTGCGTGGCCTGGCCTTTTGGAAATGTGTTACTTATATGTGTACAGAAAAGTATTTCAGTCTGGATAAATCCTTTTGGCTTTATTGTCAAATCATAAATATTAGACAACAGATTCATTTAATTTGTATTAAAAAAAATCAAATACTTTTCAGAAAATCCCCCCAAATCTGGAAAAAAAAAGGAAATGATATGGAACAAAAGAATAGTGAGGGATACTCTAAAGCAATCATTTTAGCTATCGAAGTGGATAGAAGAAAGTGAGCAAAGCTCCTAATTAAATGCTAATTGTCTTGTCTCCTGTGTGCTGCATGGTGCTGGCAAGTTTCAGATTACTGCCTAATTATAATCAACGATGCTTCCGCTTTTCACATCTCTTACAAATAATAATTCCCCCCCATGACAGTCTTGCTCCTGAGGCATTGAGAAATCCTTGAGTAATTCCAGGGCTGTTCCTCCATGCGGGTATTTTTACCCCTCCCAGACATCAGTATGAGTGTTATCCTGTAACCTAACACGGCTTTTACACAGATACAGCCCAACTACTGAGTCAGCCACTCCATCCAGCTCTCATCTGTTGCGTGCGCTGCTTGTAACTGCTGCCATTTTCATGTGGCACAGACCAGAAATAAGCAGTAATTATTAGCAGAAAATGCTGATGTAATCTTGCAGCTATTTGTAGGAGGAGTTGGAGGACATCACTTAGTAAGTCTGTTGTATGTATTTCTAAAAGGTAATTATCTTACTTCATGGGATATCCTGGGCATTTGTAACGTTGAATGTATAGAGATAACCAGAGATCCTAAGATTTTGGAGGGGAGATGATGTGTTAGAGGAGAAACCTAGGAGAGGAGGTAGAGTCTAATTATGCTGGCAACTTCTGAGGGTAGTGAGATGAAACAAACTGCGTTTAGCGAGCCGTGTTATTCCCTTTGTTTCTAGCTGAAGTATTTCCATCTGTGTCGTGCTGGGGCTTTTTAAATCAGTAAAGTTAAATACGTGTTGTCCCAAAAAGCAGCTTGGTTTGCAATAGCAAAGCTGCTACCAGCCCTGCAGGCAGCTGGAAGATCTGTGCCAGCAGAGGACAGTGCCGGTACACCTCCTGCCCATGAGCATGCCTGTACCCTTGCTTGCCAATTGATCTCTGGGGTTGTAAAGCTGCTCCAGAAGCATTCATGATGCACCTCACTGGGCTATGTGTAGATAAATGAAATAGAGAAAAGCAGTTCCTAAACCCTGGATGCTCTTAGCTGGTATTTCATGTTTTCTCCTGCAATTCTGCATTTAGTGGGTGGTTTGAGTCTCATGGTTTCAGGTTTGGTTTGGCTTTCACTAGGAAGAAACTTGTATCTGATACCAGGATGTTGTCCATCTTGCTTGGCTCCCTATTACCATTAAAAACATGTGGTGCTATGAATTTAAACATGAGGAGCCTGCTATTATAACATTCTCTTCACTTGGATGTTTTACTATTAATACCTCCCACATGTCAGGTACTAAGAGTTTGTGGCTGTTCCTCTTCAGTGGTTGTTTGACAAAACACATAGACTTGTGGAATGTGTTATAAAAAACACTGAGTATTTTAAACTCACATTGCACCCTTTTACTCTTTCTCCTTTTTTTAACAGAACAGGTAAGAGATTGTCTTTATGGTTGGTTTGTTTTTAAAGAACAAATGTTTTAATGATGCCTTCCTGCTACAAGCCCTACAGTTCAAAAGCAGACAAATCTAGAAGAATTTGAGCACATCCTTCTGTCATAATGTTAGTGTGCCATTCATTAGAACTTCTCTATAATGGAAATGAAATTAGACAGTGGTTTTTGAACTTAACTCATGGAAACAGTAAATAGGGCATTAGGACAAATCAATCATGCTTTTAGTTTTTAAAATTAGGTGAGTCGGAACAAAGTCTTTGCTTTTATTTGGGTGTAGGAAGGTGTTTTATCTGTCTGCCTCTATATCAGCTACTGGGTGACCATGGATTGGAAAGAAACGCTGGGTATTCCCTCCAGTGTAATTAGGAGATCAGAAGTAGAGAAGCAATAAAGATTTGCATTTTTATTAGGCTTTAGATTTGGAGTTCTTTGTAAATCTTGCTGCCTTAGGCATTTCCTTGGAATGTAAAATGTGGAAACAGCCCAGAAAGCTGTGCTGTTGTCTCACCCCTTCTCCAATGAGCATGCATGGATTTTAGGTATCTTTTTATCTTAAGTGATACCACAGTAGTTGTTCTTAATTAAGAAATGGGTGATAAGCATTAAGAAAAAGAAATTATTTAATTTCTCAATAGCTTTTAGAACCTTTCTGCATGCATCAAAGGAAACTGGTATCAGCATCACCAGTTACTGAAAACTGTGGTTTCTGTGATAACTTTCATAGAGGAAACTTATCTGTGCTCTGAAAGCACCCTGCAACTTTCTCAATATTCTGGCCCCTGGGGCAGAATCTGCAGCAAATTGATGAAGTTGAAATTTTCCAGGCAAATGATTTTGCCTGAAACATGTCCTGGGTTCATCGTTGAAAATCAGCCTTCTGCTTTCTCTCTGTATATTCTATTTTTAGTACATCATGGCAAAGTATGGAGCAGGATGGGAGTGGCCCTTGTGAATGAGAGGAGATCTCATTTACTTCTGCAAAAATCATTTCAGGCATTTAATGGCTCTTTTTTGTTTCTGTTGCAGACTTGGAATATGGCAACTCATATGAAATAGAATATATGGAGAAAATAGGCTCCTCTGTGCCTGTAAGTTCTCAGTTCCATTTCCATTCATTTGCATTCCCGTGTCATAATATACTATCCTGATAATGCCTCACTACCCCTTAAGTTAATTGTAATGTGCCTGCAGCAGATTTGCACAACCAGTTCCTTTGAATTGGCATAACTGGGGTAAACTGCATGTGCTTTGTTGCCCTGTATCCTGTACAGCTTGTTCCACTTTATTGTTTTATTTTTGAGCCAGCATCATAGCAGTTCTTTCTGGAGGTGAAAAGCAAATCGGAATTTCCAGCAGTGTAGAGTGCAGACCTGTCTATAGCAGCTATTGAAATAGTTTTAGAGTGAAACTTTTAAGAAGATGGAAAGAATACAGAATGAATGTGGACTATGGAATGTTATCCATTGTTTTGCCTTACCTCTGTTTAAGTCATAGGTTTGATAGCTCAACTAGATCCAGTGGGGCTACATCCACACGGGAAGTCAGAAAGTCAAGTGTGTATGTCAGGTGCTTAAACTGATGAGAAGTTTCAATGAATATTTTAGTAACACTTTCAGTCAGGGGATGTCTCCTGCTTGACAGGACCAGAAATCTGATTAACCTCAAAGTGAGAGAATAAGAGCCATTACAAAGAGTGAACTGTTTAGGTTTTGTTCTTTAATGGTTTCTTCCTTAAAGGGATCATCTCACTATCAGTTAGCATATTATTATGTGCTATATACTATATTATCAGTTGTCTGTCAAGTCATTTGGTCACCTAAGGCTTCACTGACCTGAATTAGCTTTAATGGAGAATGGTTGAGTTGCTTAATGACTCTTTCTTTTCTTGTTGCCAGCAGGATGATAGCACCCCGAAGAAACAGTCTTTATACCTAATGTTTGATGCACAGCAGGAGAGCCCAGTCAAATCACCTCCCATCAGACTGTCTGATTCCACAACACCATGCTCAGGGTATGTCTCTGCAAGCAAATTCAGCAATGGAAAAGGATGGAAGGGAGACAGGCTAACATCACAGCACATACACAACAATCCTTCTTCTCTCTGCCTCTGTGTTGCTGAGTTGTTTGTTTGAAAATAGATTCCCATCTGTGTTCATATATGACAGAGAATAAAGGGCAAAGATACAGAAGTTTTATAATGGGAAGGAATAAGGACATGTATTTCTGCTTAATGTTCTTATTAAATAGAGTCACAGTGGCAACTGTTTCACTAGACAATGGCTTCCTACTCACAGCTTTATTCCAGATACTGAGGTCATTTCCATATCAATCTAGAAATCTCCTAATTGCAACTTTTCCCTTGGCCTCCTTCTGAAGAAGGAGTCTAGTTCATAAGAACAGGATGTGGGGGTTGTATTTACTTCCGAAAATGTTGCTTGTTAAGGACATCTGTTCTTGTTAGTACAAGTTGTTTGTTGGGAGAGGTGCAGGTCACAGTGAGAAAGGGGTAAAAAGGCAAGTGAGAAATATTTAAGGAATGTGTGTAACCTTTCTGGTGGAACTGGCTTTATTTAGATGACTCTGGTGCAATGCTTTGAAAGGGTGTTGCAGAGTGTTATGAGATATGATATGAAGCTCAGTTGAAACAGTGCAAGTATATTTATAGATATACACATGTAAGCCATGAAGAGGGCTCGCTTAGTTGTCACCAGAGGCAGAATTGTAAGAACCTTGTACTCCCCCATGAAAACATGTACACAATCTTTCTCCAGGTCAAGTTTTGAAGACCCTGAAGCCCAGCAGTCCTCTGGAATGAAAATACAACATCCAGCTTCCCGAGTCCTAGCTGCCAGCCAAGAGGCACACTTACAGTCACCTGACAAGTCAAAGCAGAAAGACCTAGAGCCCATGACCCTAGGAACAACTCCAGAGGCTATTGAAATAGTAAGTAATTTATGATAAGGGTTTGGGAATCATTTTCTCCACAGAAATTTCTCATGTCATATAAGAGGTAGGAAAGGTGGATCTTGGAAGCAGAGTGAAACTCAACATGGTACTTGAAGATCTTGGTAGCAGCATGTGGTAGGACTCAAATGAGTCCAGTTGATGGAACTGGAGGAATTCAGAAGAACTTTCTGAATTCTTACTGTAGCTCAACATGTTATTGTGATAACTAATTCTAAGTTGATGCTTTGAAGGGTTGTTTTGGTTTTTTTCTCACACAGGCCTTTCTACACTGTGCTTTAACCCAATACCTTTCTGAATTCTTACTGTAGCTCAACATGTTTTTGTGATAACTTATTCCAAGTTGATACTTTGAAGGGTTGTTTTGTTTTCTTTTTCTCACACAGACCTTTTTACACTGTGCTTTAACCCAATACTTGAAGAAATATTTTATATAGAAGATAAATGGGTTGATATAAACATAGAGACATGATTGTTGCATGTCCTGTGAAACTGCAAGATTTTGTTGGTAATGAACAGGTGCCCTTTCACATTTCTCTATAAACTGTTTACTGTATTGATGTCATCTGATAATGTAAAATTCACTTTTTTGATCATTAGAACTCATTCCACCCTAAATCACTTTTTTTTCAGTGTTTGGATTCACTTTTTTCTCTGGGTTGGATTTGAATTAGTGGTGAGCCCTTCCTTGCTTCCAGCCTGTGCTGTGTACAGACATCAGAGCACTGGTTCTCAAATTCATGAAGGTTCCCTCAAGGCTTCCACTTTTCCAGGCAAACTTGTTTTACAAATGCCTGCAGCACTAGGCATGCTAAGCTACATGACAATGTATTTAGTGGGGAGTCAAAATAAGAAGAAGCTGACTTAAATACTGTGTTTAATTTATATTAATGATGGTGTTGATACCATCTCAAAACATTTTTTATAAGCTGTGAATACTTTCCTCACTGCAGAGAATTTTGGGTACTCAAATCCCAGTGTTCTTGTTTGTGTCATTCTAATTCCATTCTCTTATTGTGCATTTATCCTGATCATATTGTAACTGTGAACATAATTTAGTCTATCCCCAGTAAACAGCAAAAGACTTTGTAAAGACTGCAAAAGCAGTCTTGTAGAGGATCCCCTCAGTTTTGATGGTCTTCAAAGCTTTTGGACTGCCTTAGAGATGCCCGAACTGAACATAAGCTGTTATATGAACAAATCCTATGGTGACTTTCAAAACTTGAAGTATCAAGAGTGGGCTGTGGTCCTTGGTTTGAGAGCCATTGCTTCAGAGATCCTAATATTACTTATTTCATGTTAGTCTTGGAAATTTGACTCAGTTTTTGAATTAGGCAGAATTGTTCTTGATGTTTGCCTGTTACCTGTGAACCATGTATTCAAAAGTAATCTTCAGTGGGGCATGAAATTACTAGGAATCAAAGATTTGCAAACACCTATGTTGCTTGTGGCCTGAACTAGATGGGCAAAATCTCTGTTGCTTATTCTGTATCCTTCTTACCCTTCAGACGTCTCCTGAAGACTCCTTTGTCTCTGCTGATGCTCTTCTCAATAGGATATCTAAGAAAACCTCAATATGTGAGCAGCCTGAATATCTAGATCCTGACTTAGCAGAAAAGAACCCCCCAGTATTCGCTCAGAAGCTTCAGGTTTGTAGCAGAAATATAAATGTCACTTTTCTTTAAGTTTCTCTATACACAGGTATAGAAAAGGGTGGAGGGAGGCTTGGAGTGGAGGCAGGATAGAAGCAAAATAATGATTTGATTGTTTCCAAAGTAACTTTGGTCTTTCAGGAACTTAAGGAGCAGAGATATTTAATTTAATTCATATAATACATAAGCCTAAATTTCATCCACACTTTCAGCTGTATCAGTCATGTATATATTTTGCAGAAGTCTTTATAAAGCACATCTTTTAAGCTTGAACACAGGACTTGGTGTGTGGAGAGTTGCCTTACCACCTGGCCTCAGTAGGTCTGTACGCAGAGATTCATTTTCAGATCTTTAGGCCCTAATTCTGCTGAAGTGAAAATTAGGCTGTATTTTTCTAGTAATCTAATGCAGAATTTGGCATGGCTTCTTCTAGGAAAAGCAAATTGATCTGCAGGCCTGTATGTCAGGATGTATTTTCTAGTGTATATCTAATGAAATTTTAAGACAGCAAAGGTTGACTTGAAAGCAGCAGCTGGTATAAATCCACATAAAATGAATATGAAAGGTGAAGAGTCCATGAAAAACAGCTCTAGCTTTGGAAAACATTTATTTTACCTAAATGTTGTTCATACTTACCCTAACAAAAACTGTTTATACAGCTACCTCAAAACAAACCAGCAACTGGAGTTCTGTATCATTTTTCCAGACATGAAGTAAATATGGGATGTGTTTGTCACCCAGGAGTTGTCTGAATGAAATATTAAAATATAACATTCCATTTTTTAATGTGTTAAACATTTTTGCTATGTTCTTAATACATTTTTTTCTGTGGATTGCTCACAACCAAACACTTGACAGGAGGAGTTAGAGTTTGCTGCAATGAGGATAGAAGCATTGAAGTTAGCCAGGCAGATTGCCCTGTCTTCTTTCTGCTCCAAGGTATCTGGTTTGTGCCTGCCATGAGTGTGTGTGAGTGTGCACAGACTAAGAAACCGAGTGCTGCTTTGTCTCTAACAAGGTAACTAAGGCTCTCAGAGTGCAGTGCTAAGCTGTGCGCACCCCAGTGTGACACCAAAGAGCATGCTGAAAGCAGTGCTGCACACAGAAATGCTGTCACCTGCTCCACTCACAGAGTACTGCTACCTCCAGATTAACAACAAGCAAATCTGAAGGCAAGAAGCAGGCCCATACCTTTTGCAGGAGACAGATTCTGCAATCTAGGTGGACTTTTGACATTTGCCTACAGGAAGATCTGTCCTAAGATGTTTGATGGCAAAGCAATACCAAACCTACTTCTCATAAAGCTGGTGTAGATTTTCCACGTAGGGACATTTTGCCTTTTGTTGGTATTTTCAGCTTGAAATCAGACCCCTTGACCTTCAGAGTTTAAAAGTGAGAAACTCAATCATCTCTGCCTTCAGGCATCTGAAGAAAGGGACTACAGCAGGTTTGGAAGGGCTATATTGTTCCCAAGGGAAAAAGGCTTCCCAAAACAATGTGTCTTTATTCCTGAATCACAGAATCCCAGACTGGTTTGCATTGGAAGGGACATTAAAGCTCATCCAGCTCCAAACCTCTCCCACGGGCAGGGACACCTTCCACTAGAGCAGGTTGCTCCAAGCCCTGTCCAGCCTGGCCTTGAACACTGCCAGGATTGGGACAGCTGATTCCTTTCAGATTTGTGGGTGTATTAAAGTATGTGGCTAGAATCTTATCTTTAATCAAGAAAAATGTGCCATTGTCATCATTAGATGGATGTTTGTAAATCCTTGTGTGTTACCCAGGGAAGATTCTGAGCCACGGAACTGTTACAGTATGTATTTGCTTATGTGCAGTTATATTTTAAAGATGCTTTTTAACATCATTAAAGCATTTTCTTTTAAAAAGAACAAGCTTATGAACTCTGCAGAACTTAGAATGAGGGAATGAATTTCATGTGATGTTTTAGAAAATGCCATTAAACTGTATAACAAGGATAGCAAAAATGGTAAGCAGAGACGAGGAGAGAAAAAACAAGCAGAACTCCACCCTCTGATGGAGAATCAGCAGTGTCTGAATGTTCATGAAGCCCCATGTTGGTCCAGTCATAGGAGTGCTTTTAGCTGAATACTGTGGGTGTCATGTTGGGCTGGGAAGGACTCCTGTCCTTGTATAACTTTACTATTTCAGTGGGAGGTTGCTGCTGTTAAATTAGCCTATGATGACAACCCTTGTGACCTACAGTGACCGATGGCCTTGATTAAGGATAACAGAACCCACCAGATGATTGTGGTGACTTAAATTCAGATGCGAACTGGCAGAATTCCCTTTGGTTGGCAGCCCTCAGTTCTTTTCTTAATGTTGTATAATTACATTTAACATTTGCTAAACCATTACAGGATGGGTAACAAGAATAGGATGCTAAATAAAGATGCGAGCACTTGTTTATGGCAAGTTAGGTCAATGCAAAATGAAAACATTTTCTGCTAGGGCTAGGACTAGGGCTGAGAATAAGGATGTGCAGTTTGTTGTTCTAAGGCAGAGGGAAGTTATTTCAGCACTCCCAAACTTCTTGTCACAGACTTCAACAACAGCAGGACTAGTCATCTACTTGTACATTGCCAAAGATTTCTGAGACCAATTGACACTTCTCTATTAAACAGTCTCCATTAGGACATCCTGTGCAACTCGAACCATAGAATCCCAGACCGATTTGGGTTGGAAGGGAGCTTAAAGCTCATCCAGCTCCAACCCCTGCCACGGGCAGGGACACCTTCCACTAGAGCAGGTTGCTCCAAGCCCCTGTGTCCAACCTGGCCTTGAACACTGCCAGGGAAGGGAAAGAAAGAAAATAGAGCAGAAAGCTGATACTGTTTGTGTCCACCACCCTCCAAATGCTGAGGTGATGCAGAGTTGGTTGGTGAAATAAGATCCAAGGAAAGGAGAGAAACCAAAGGGAATGGCATTGTCACAAATGTTATCAGTGTGTCACAGCTCTGGGGGCTCTCGTGGTGGTGAAGGAGGAATATTTCCTTCAAACAGGGATATAATCTTTCCTAGTAAATCTTTGCAGGCAGAGAATTTATGTTTGTACTTTACTTGCTTCTCAACATATTTGCAAGCATAAATGCATCTTGTGTTGCCTCCATTGACCTGTCTGCACACACATCAATTAGTTAACAGAGTGCATCACTTGATATACACCCAGCACTATTTGAGTTCTTGTAAAGTGCAAGCTAATTTCCATCAGGGCTAGAGACATATTCCTCTGAAGAGTATGATAAAAATGAGGTTTCATTTTCATTCCAACGCCTTTCTCTATTTTCTTTCTTTTTGACCTTTGGAATTGAGGTAACTGCATCTGGTTCATCAATGTGCATTTATTCCCTTTCTGGCCAGGTGTCTGGTTTCTGTGAAAGATGCTGGGAAGAGAAGGAGCATCGTGTTGGGCTCTCATATATTTACACTAAGATTGCAGTGACCTACATTTAGTAGCAATTCCCCTGCAGAATTTAATCTTTCTCTGTGAGGTTCAGCGACTTACAAATCCCTATTCTCATTATTACCCCAGTTAACTACTTACCTTCTCAGCAATTAAGTGTTCAGCTTGAAGCATTGACAGTTATTTTGGGTAACACCACCATCCTGTTGGTCAGGTTATATTATTTTCTCAGGATAGGAATATTTGGAGGCAGCAAATAACAGTCCCTGGATAGTGAATCAGTTTGGAGCTGTGTAAAACTGGCGTTTGAAGTAACACCATGAGGTCTTTTGCTGGTTCCTCCTGCTGAAAAGCCCAGTTGTGACTTGTGTGAAGTGTTCCCAGTGGTAGGACAATACTGGTTGAGTCACCACCACAAGCATTTCTGCTCAATGGTTAAATTCCAAGAGTTTTTGCAGTCATCTTTGGAAATTTTAGGTTGTTTTGCCTGTCATTGTTGCTGTTCTTTCGTACAATTTACTCTAAGAGAGAATTAAAGAAATATTAGAGGGGCGTTGAGCACTCTATAAAACATATGCATAAATATGTGTTCAGTGCTTTAAATATTCTTTTTTCTTTAAAAATATTCATCATCCTGGCAGTTACTTTGACACATTTTAATGTGAGCTGGAGGAAACTTGTGTTTCTCTTGCCACAATTAATATTTCCCAGCAATCTCTTTATGAGATCCAGCAAATGGAGCTGCAGGAGGCTTTTGAAATAGGATACATACAGTCCAACAGATTGATTTTCAGGATGGCCTTTCTTTTAAGGACAGCTTTGATGATCTAATGGTTCTTTTTTTATCTCTTAGTTATTCTTGCCTTATATTTGAGGAGGAGCTAAAGTATATGTCTTTAAAGTTGGGATATTGAGTTGAACCATCAGTATCTGATTTATTGACCCTTTTACTTTTACTTGTATCTGTGGACAGCACCACGTGTCTTTGTATTTATGCATTTACACAGATGTCTGAGCTTGTGTCCCAGCTGTATGTTTTCCTGTATAGTTGTTGTATATTAGGAAACACTTTCAAGAATACAGGCTATTATTGTATAACTTTAATAGATCTTATGTAGGAAAATCCACTGGATTTGAGGTTGTACCCGCTAGTTGTACTGGAATCAATCATTATTTGTGTGTTCATGGCTAACTGTAGCAAAAAAAGGATGGCCTGCTCCATAAATGGGAGAAGTAGTAGTCAATTCACTCCCATGTTTAAAATGAACAAAAAGCCCAAAGCAAATTATTGAGAGCTTCTTATACAGACACAGTGTGATGGGGTTTAAGTATGTTTAGCTTATTCTTGCTCTAATTAAATTTGCTTGCCCAGTCTTTAATGTTGCTGGTGTGGTTTCTCCATGTTGCCTACAGATGTGATATCTGGAACATCTAGTCCTGTATTTATCTCAAGTGAGCATTGTATGCAGTTTTTAATACAGCTTCTTCAGTAAGGTATAATGTGAGGACTTGGAATGGATTGCAACAAAATTAACAGTGGGTTTGGATCCTTTCTATTATTCCAGGCTATGCAAGAACTGTGAGCAAGTGAGCATTGTATGTAGTTTTTAATACAGCTTACAGTGGCAATAGCCAGCCAGGCAGAGTATGTTAGCTGGTTGATGGTGAGATGCAAAGCATAGGTAGGGGACACAGGGACGTACAGCTGTGGTGGGGCTCCTGCCATAGAGGGGTTTGCTATGGATGTTGTCTAAAAATGTGGTGGTTTTGTTGTTTAGTATCTTCCTAACTGTCTTTTACAGTCTCCTTGATTTTAACGTGCTGTAACTCAGATTGTTTGTACCTAGAGCTGTTTGCAAGACGTCTTGTGCGTTTCAGTGGCACATCACTCTTTTCTACTCTCTTCCTCACTTCACATGCTGCTGTCCTTCTTCATTAATCTGGGCTGCTGACATGAGCAAAATTGGCAGCTGCAAATAAAACCTTCTTTAACTTACTAATCGCATGGTAAATACCAGTGGGGCAGCAACATCACTTGTATATTCACACCTGTAATGTAATTCTGTTTACGACAGATACAGTATATTGGCAGGTCAGACCTAAGAGAACTGTCCTCTTGCTTCTGGTTTCTTACTCTGTTTTTATGGATGCAGAGTTCTTCTTAACAAGCTCTCTGTCTCCAGTTTTAATTCCCTCTGCTGTTGTGCATTTCCTGTGGAAGTTATGGTGAAACTTCCGCACCAGAAAGTAGTAAGTTTTCCAGTATAGGACCTTAAAATATTGGTAGCAAGATGCTGCCTTTATTTCCTCTCTATAAGAGTAACATGGCTGTCTTGGTGCTTACTATGGCTTTTAAATGTGTATTTTATGATTGCTAAATTGAATGTTCCTTGTCAGTGTTATTGCTGTTAAAACTTAGTAGTGCACAGGATTCTAGTCCTAGCCCAGGACCCTGGTGCCTGGCACTACACCCAGGAAACATATAAGCTAAACACGTATTTAATGCTTCATTTCTTTGTATTTAAAAAAACAAACACACAGAGAGAACCTGCTATCCCAGCAGATGTTTCCATCTCTAAGAGTGCACTGTACTCCCGGATCGGCACCGCAGATGCAGAGAGCACCACGGGTCTCCTCTACCCCCAGCAAGACTTAGACTCTGCACTACGACTCGCCAGAGCAGAGGTAATTTTATTCACAATTTGGAAAGAGGAAATATGTGCCCCTTGTGGTTTCCTTTTTTCCTGTTTTCTCCCAAATCATTCGTATTATGGACACTTGTTCTATTCTGGAAGCCATTCTCAGCCGTGCTAAAGCCACAAAATGCACTATGCTGTAAGTTTTACTTTATGTGACATCAGTGAAAAGCAGACATTATATGAACATGAATCTTTATTGGGTTTAACCCCAAGTGTACTCTGTGCGTCTTGACATTGCTGTGTAATTACATAAAAATAGTCAGGTGCTAGAAATAGGAATAAAATAGTGTATTTTACAAAGCTACATATAAGATTAGTCTGGTTAATAGTGACAGTTTAAAAATGGGTGCAACCGAGTGTTAGAGTATTCCAAACTTTATGATTGTGTGGAAGGAACACAATCCTTTGGGTATAAAATGTCATGGACTGTCAGCCCTAAACACATAGACAGAAGCAGTAGGGACCATATTCCAAACCCCTGTACAGAAATGTTTCAGGTTTACACCAGGTCAGATCAGACACGGTGTAGTGCGATACAGTATTTCTTGACGAGTGTCCTTGTTATAAGCATGAATGAAACACTTGGGTTTACTGTGGGGTTTTTTTTCCTTTGCTTGCTTTTTTCAGATTGTGGCCAAGGAAAGGGAAGTATCTGAGTGGAAAGAGAAATACGAAGAAAGCAGAAGGGAAGTGATGGAAATGAGGTGGGTTATTAACTTGTCCCTAATCACACAGTGACAGAGAGTCTCCTTTCAGCCTGTGGACACCACACAGAGTACCACAATTGTACAGCTGTTTGGGTTAGCTGAACTTGCTTGGTTATTTTTAACTGCAGGCTTTTATTGATCCTAAACTGATACTTTGCCTTTGCTCTGAATGGTGGGTACCCCTCTTCAGGGTGATCATTGTACACTTCTATGTTGCTAATCTCATTTACATCACCAAAATACTGAAATAGGAGAGGTCTTAATCTAGGTTAATGGTAGCAAAGAATTTCCTCCAGTTCGTGCTGTGAATTCTCTCATGGATTGCATAGGGAAGTTTCTGTTGCCTGACTGGATGAATCCACCTGCAGAACTGGCAGAGGTATACACATGCTAATTTAAAGTCCACCCTGTCATAATTTAAGCCACAACACACTCTCCACAAATAGTTTTGCCAACAGAGAAAGAATGTGAAGGTTTGCAGATGATATGGGTAATACAGGACATTATTGTAACAGGTTTTTAACAACAGAAAACAAAATCCCAGTTGCCAGTAGAAAACCATTTCCTGCAAAGGAACCACTCTAGCATCTGAGCCTTGACTTTCAAGGAGATTCTGCCCCCTTTTCTTTGAACTGAGCTGATTTTTAGTTAAGCAATAATTGTCTTGGATTTTTCTCATTTTACCAATGAGTTTGACCTGCTCGTCAGTCTGAATCGTAGAAAATCATCACTTGCAAAAGAGAATGTATAAAAGTATTTCATGGAGTCTTTAAAGCCTATTATTTTCTATCTTCCAATAAACAGAAAAAACATTCCCTCCTTAAATCATAAATAAAAGGAAACACTCAGATTGTTTTAGCATCCTTCTTTTAAGTAATAATGTCTGCAATCACTTCTGAGACAGAATGTTCTTCAACATCACTTCTGTTCTAGCATCTAAAATTTAATGTCTTGGGGGTTTAAAGCTAAAGCAAATGAGCTGTGTCAAGTGATGACCTGCACATGTAATTCCTGCTTATATGCAGGAAAACTGCACTGAAGGAGTAAGGGTAAAAGGGAACTGTGGTGCAGAACTCAGCGAACGCCAGCATGGATGCCAGGAGTGGCACATGGCAGATTTGAATAGTGCAGCACAGGGCTTGGAGCCAAAGCATCTTAAGAGAAGCATCTGCAGAAGGCAAGGGCTTTAGCTCTTTCAGAAGGCATCTCTCAGCACCCTGCTGAGCTCTCTCCCCTCTTGTGCTCTGCTTGGGCAAGGAAGCAAATCCCTCGCATTGCACTCAAATGCATAATGAGGCAAAAAGGAAAGGAGCTGCTGCAAGCACTCACACTGAGGAAGCAAAACAAGGGATGAACAGCGTTAGGAACTGTGTAAGCAATGTCTCAGCATTCAGCACACCCTTAAGTGCAGTATTTGGTCTGTTCTCTGGGTGCACGTGCCTGCTGGCTGCCAGTGGGCACTGACAGATGTTGCTTATTCCTTAGTGAAAGGAGAGCAGGGGCTGACACGGAGTGGCTGGCACACTGTAGATGTGTACCTTCCTCTTCCTCACAGCAATTTGCTTGTGTGTCTATACCCTCCATAAGGTTGGATTTGAAAAAACCACATTAAGCCAAATTTCCCACACGTACATCCCTAGAACACATGGATGAAAAAAATACCAGACTAGTATTGTCACAAAATGCTAAAATATGGATGTGTGCATGAAGATTTCTCTTGGAAGATTAAATGTTGAAACTGTCCACATGTGGGAAATTAGAGATGCAGCAATTAGATATCGCATAATGATAAGCAAGGAGTGAAGGGATCTATCTGGACTTGTGCAACGCATTTGGCACTGTCCTGCATGACATCCTTGTCTCTAAACTGGAGAAACATTAATTGGATGGATGGACCACGGCAATCCCAAACAAACAGAGGCTGGAAAGAGACTGGATTGAGAGTAGCCCTGAGGAGAAGGACTTGGGGGTGTTGGTTGATGAAAGCTAGAAACAGATAATGTTATTTCACTTTGCTGCTGACTTCCATGGTGCAGCCTAGGCTGGGAAGTGCTGTAGTGTTGATAGCATTCAATGTCATGTTCATTGCCCTGAGTCCTTAGCTTCATCTCCTAAGATGATAAAATGTCCTAAAAGTGCCTGGTGTTACTAGGATATGATATGGTTTTAAAATCCTAATTGCCTACAGCAGGCTTTTGAGGTAATCTTCTTTGGACATGAAACCAATCCCCACCTCTTAGGGCAAAATCTTTGCAGCTATCTTTGCTCTCTAAAGTATCATTTATGGTTAAAAATAGAAAAAAAGAAAGTTAAAACAACAGGACTGACACCAGGGAAAGCAGCATCCAAGCACATCCCAGTGGAGGCAGCAGCTGGAGCTGTGCAGGGATGTGTTCTTGCCCAGGTACCAAAATTGGTTTCTACATGAAGCCTGAGCAAGGTCAGTGGGATATGCAGCTGTAAAACCCCTGCTGTGCTGAGTGCTCTGCAGAACCAGGGCAAGTCGGACCCTACTGACCTTTGGGGCAAGTGGCCCTCTCAGGGGGTTTATGGACTGTTTGTGATTCAGATTTGAGTGGTGCTGGAATTACTGCATTAGTTATGTGGGAGCTCCACGAGCTTCTCCTTTCCTTATTGACTTTTGTCTCAGCATTTTCCCACATCCCTTCTGTAACCTCACTAAGTTCTCTAAAATGGAGCAAGTGAAAGCAAGCTAAGACTTCAAAAGAGACGTATTCAGATACCAGTGAGCTATTTTGAATATCCACTTCAGATGAAGTGTGGGGTAAGTTTGTTTTTCATACACAGTCCTATGTGGCTCACGAATCAAAGCACAGATCAAGCTAGTCTCATTTCATTAGCTTTATTTGGCTCTGGGAAGGGATGGATCATCTTTCTAAATCACATTTAATCTGCTTATTTTGGCTAACCTCTTTTCAAGAAGGAAATTCAAAGCCTACCATGAGTATATGAAATAAAATGGTCTTAAAAGTTACATTTTGCCACCTCTGTTTCAAAAACAGATTTGGGAAACAGGACATGATGGATTTTGTGCTGCATAATTGGATATTTTAGTCTTGTTTTTTTAAGTGCTAATGGATCAGTTAGTTACTTTTAGAGAGTGGAAGATTAGATATATTTTGGATGAGGGCCAGTTATACGCTTGTTTGAGTATATTACTTGCTACAAATTATAACTTAACATTTACTTTTGAAATAAGCAAACACAAACATGGAGAAGTGGGGAGAAAGTGATGGAAAACTCAAACTCTGTAACTCTTGGATTAGACCAATGTGATTATATTATAATCATGATTGGTAATGTACTTTGGGCATGCTTCAAATAACAGAATTGGTTTCAAAGCAGTCTCCTTTTCCTCCCACGACCTGTATTGATTTACATGGAGAAATAGAAATGAGGTGCAACGTTTAAGCTGTTGGTTTTATTAGTTATTCAGGTATAGAAGTCATAGAATCATAGACTGGTTTGGACTGGAAATGACTTTAAAATCATCCAGTTCCAACCCTCTGCCATGGGCAGGAAGATCCCACACTACATCATGTTGCCCAAGGCTCTGTCCAGCCTGGCTTTGAACACTGCCAGGGATGGAGCACTTACCACTTCTTTGGTCAGCCTGTTCCAGCGCCTCAGCACCCTCACAGCAAAGAACTTCTGCCTTATATCTAACCTGAACTTCCCCTGTTTAAGTTTGAACACATTCCCCCTTGTCCTATCACTACAGTCCCTGATGAAGAGTCCCTCTCTGGCATCTTTAGTTTAACTTTCATATGCTCCTTTTAAAATACCATCATAACCGTAAGTTATTCAGTAACATGATTTTCTAAGTAAGCATTAGCAATTATGATGTTTGCCAAAAAACATGTTTTTGTTTTTTTCCCTCTTACAGGAAGATAGTTTCAGAATATGAGAAGACGATTGCTCAGATGATAGGTAGGTGTTTCTGCTCTGAAAGATGCTGTCCTCCACTCTGATTTTCTGAAGAGAGCTAGAAATGTGATTGAAGTCTGTGGGCTTCATTTTGATGCTAGCCACATCTGCTGATGCTGCTGGGAACTGGGAATGCATCTGAGGACACCAGCATGTGCTGCCAGGGCGTGATGGGAAGCCAGGGCTTTGTTTTACAGAAAGTAGGCCCCGAGGCAGTCCAGGTAATACAGGAAGGTCAAGGCTTTTTCTTCTGCATCAAAGCAAACAGTCCCATAGGAAGCATGTTCAAGTGCTTTACCCAGAATTCATGGGTATCTCCAGGAGAGACTGTCGATGACCTAAAAAACCTTTAGTCATCCCGGCTGTTTAACGGGAGATACCGAACTTAGCTCTTTACAACAACCAGGATTATCTGCGCTAAGTGCCTTGGTCAAACCAAAACCTAGATTAACTCAAATCCCAGTTGGGAGATTATGAAAAGCCAATCCACCTCCCCACTTACTTACTGACATAGGGGTCTCCTTTAAGGTCTAAATTATGACATGTTTGGCCTCATAGTAATTAGAAATCACCTTTGTTAACAGCAGACCCACCAATGAAAAACACTACGTGAAATAGCATTTCAAAACCAAAGGTTGCAGGACTCATGTGCTTCCTTGGCACAGGAGGTCTGGCCCTTGGGGTGTGATTTTAAAGCCTCTTCATAAGATTTCCAAAGCTCTTTTCCTTAGTCTGGCTATAGAAAGCACCAGTGACTTGTGCTGCCCTGTGCTGCTTCAGCTTGAGCTTTCACCCAGCTGAGTGGGGTCGTGGGTTCTCTATGGCCAAAACTGATGGGAAGACAAGGAAAAGAAGCAAGAAAGCAGGACTGAGCTCACCTGGGCAAGCTCGAGTAAGGCAGCAAAGAGCTGTGAAATGTTAAAAGCCATTGGGAGTGGCCTTAGAGTTAAATCTGGGCTGTGAGATGCAGGAGAAAAGCGAATTATATCCACAAGCAGGGAGAGTGATAAACGTAGCCTGTTTGCACTGTGCTTATTGGGAAATAGAAAGAAATTGTCCCCTGAGAGGACTGTCACCAAGGGTGCAATGTGCCAGGAAAAACAACAGCCACACCTGCATCTGTCTAAAAGCTTTTGAACAGGGAAGGATTTTTATTACAGCTGTCAACATACCACGTTGGTTTACCCCTTTTGAGATTTGGCAGTCCCCTCCTCTGCAGTGAGTACGGTGTGACCCCCAAATTTTTAATTTCTTTTAAATTGTGTTTTTTCTTTAATTAATACTTCAGTTGTATTTATGTTTGTAGCAAATTTCCTTATTTTTATCTAAAAGTGAGAGGAAGTAGTGTAATACCTGGTGCTTTTGCTGCCTTCCTGCATCACTTGGATTATGGGAGACACCCCAGCCTCCTTTTAAGTGAAGGGAAAAATGGGTCTATAAACAAATATAACAATTTAATAATAATAATAATAGCAGCATTACCAATAATCATAATATAGTAATGTATAATATATAATAATAATATGCCTGGCTTCATTCTCTGTGGTGTTATGCCTCCGCTGCTTTCCATATGTACAACTGAGCCAACTTGCCTGCCTTCTGACGTAGTATCTGTCGTTCTCATCATGCACTTGTTATAGTAGGAGTGTCCAGAGTATGCAAAGAACTTAACTCATTTTGGTTTACACTCAGTGTACGCTAGTACAGCTTCATCCCTGAGCCTGGCCATTCATATGGGCAAACACAGGACTTGCCCTTTTTTCCCAAGCATATGCATACAGCAACAGAAGGGGTTCTGGTAACAATTCACATTCTGGTTTTGAGAATCAGATTGAAAAGAAAATAATCAGATTGTGAGGACACAGTGTACCAAGAAGGTATAGACTAGGGGTCCTAAGGCCAAGGCGTACACAGTAAATTCTATCATTACCATTTCCTCTTGTTGCAAAGATATGAAGGATAATTAAAGCATTGGCTATCAATCAGTAAGGAAATAGAAAGATCTGTAAGCTTCAAATTCAGGCTCAGTCAGAGTCTTTCAGATGATCTAGGGCAAGGTTTTAAGAGCTATGGCTATAAATAATGTGATTTGCTGTCCATCTGCAGAGGAACTGAAGCAACAACAGTGACACAGAAAGCGTGTGTTAATTAGAGCCATATGCAAATTCTACATTAAATGTGAGGCTGCTTCTCCCTGCATTTAATGTAAATTTTTGATCTAATTGTCCCACTTTCTCCTCTCATTTGTTGTAAATTACTGTCCCTTCTGCTAAACGAATTTGCTCATCCGAATGCCACATTGTGGAGGAGTCATTGTCTGTGTGCTATTTGCATATATTCACTGAACTGTTATCACAATAATGCCTTAATGCTAAAGCAAATATGTATTTTAACAAAAGAAATGTCTGTGCTATTTCTATTTATTATTTAACCCTCCTGAGCTATTTATACAGCCCTGTTAGGAGGGACACAAATCCCTCTAATGAATATTCAGGGTGGTTGAAAGATCTTCCTCAGCTTTCTGGAGGTTGCCAGTGGTTTATATAATGAATATTGAAAATATTCCATATTAACATTATAGAGAATCCCAGACTGGTTTGTATTGGAAGGGACCTTAGAGCTCATCCAGCTCCAAGCCCCTGCCACGGGCAGGGACACCTTCCACTAGAGCAGGTTGCTCCAAGCCCCTGTGTCCAAGCTGGCCTTGAGCACTGCCAGGGATGGGGCAGCCACAGCTTCTCTGGGCACCCTGTGCCAGCGCCTCAGCACCCTCACAGGGAAGAGCTTCTGCCTCAGAGCTCATCTCAATCTCCCCTCTGGCAGGTTCAAGCCATTGCCCTTGTCCTGTCCCTACATCCCTTGTCCAAAGCCCCTCTCCAGGTTTCCTGTAGCCTCTTTAGGTATTAGAAGACTGCTGAAAGGTGATTATTGTGATATGATTGTGTATGTTTGCCTAAAAAGGCACTGAAAGTATGCATTGCAAACTATTTCCCTTTGATTTCAAGGGCTGTGGAACGTCTAGTATTTGCTGATATATACAGAACCCCATATTACCCAACTTAGTTTATGCAATTAGTCTGATGCCACGATCTGTACAGCCAGCACTTGCAAGGGGTTGGTGTATAGACCTCTGTTAGTGGCTCTTTGAGTATTTTTGTACTGGTGCTTTCACTAGTTTTCCTTTTTTTCCTTACACTGCCTCAACCCCCAAAACGTTCTTGTTTCTACTGAGGATTGGGGATTAAAACCCAGGCTTTCCAGGCTGGCCTGCTGCTTGTGCTACTGCTTTGCTGACTGTTGCCCAAGTTTTGCCTTCACTGCTGCGTGGCACTGACAGCCCCATGGACCAGAGCCTGTGGAACCCCAATGTTCACTGCACCCCGTCCTACACACACCTTGGTCACAGCCAGGCACAGTTCCCTTGTAAAATCCCTTTCCTTGATGGATTTGTAATGTTGGGGTGTTTTTTTCCTGTTAAAGATGTGTCCTTATCCTTGTACATTGAAATAATTAAATTCTCATTATGAAAACCAAACAGATGTTATGCTTTGTGCATTACAGATTGTTGCATTACTTTCTGCTTTCCTAACAATTCCTGATTTTCTGTTTTGCTTCCGTTTTTGTTGCTTCTTGCTATTTGCTTGCAAAAACAAAACAGGCAAGCCTGGTAAGTAAAGCTTTTCACCAACTTTCACACCTGCATTTGGCATTTTTCATTTCTTTTGCCTTTTGTTCTCTGTTTGCTGCATTCCCATTAAGTGATGTAATTCTGAGCTGAGCCTGAAAGCGGATCTGCTGCGGTGGTGCTCTGATTCTGTCAGTTTGGATAGTGTTAGTCCTGAGCATCCTGTTGTTATTGTTGGTGAGCCGTGGACAGCGTGTGTTGCAGATGTCGAAGCTATTGAATTCAAGTGTTTCAATCATGTAACCTCATAGATATCTTCAGAAATAAGTATCTATAACTGCTTAACTGAGATTTGACTGGCAGACTGGTACCAGCACTAAGCAGCTTTTTCATTACAGCTAAATTATAGTTTAGAAAATATCACATAGACCTTCGTGTCCCCCTCCAGCCAGATGCCAGCTTCTGTTTTCTGTAGTATTTAACCACTTGGGGTTTAGATGTTTATTAACTGAGATTATCAGATGCCCTTTCCCTAAGGCTCACTGGAAACTTCAAATTCATATGAAAGTTTTCCTCTTTAAACTTCGTATGTCACTCCCCCAACATAAATTCCTGTTTTCTCCTTAGAGTTTCTCCCCAGGCCATGGACACTTTTAGGATGTAGTAGAAGGGAGAGGAGAAGAGGAGCATTGGGTATCATCTGCCCCTAATTCCCATGTGGAAGTGGAGCTGGGGATGAATATTTGAGGAGCTGGTCCAGCTGAGGAGAGAGGAGAATGCACTGGGGGGAACAGAAGAGCTCACTAGTCATGAGGGAGTGAGTCATGGACTAACTGTGTAGCTTGCCCTAGAAACAAAAAGAAGGAAGTTGCTAAAATACCAGAGACAGCAGAAAAAGTGAAGTAGTGACATTAAAGGCATTTAAGTACATTACGTGATCATGCAAATGGATTCCTTTCCTCTGTGACAGCAGAGGTTTTGCCAGAGAGCAGGATCCTGCTAGTAAGGGGTTTGGAATTAAGCTAGAGCGTGTGTAATCTCCAGCGTGATTAACCAAATCTTGTGCTGGAACACGCAAGGTGACAACTTCTCAGGCTTAGAAAAATAAAGGGATGACAAATGGTTTTCTCATTTTACTTGAGATTACATGAATGTTGACATTACAGGTGATCACAGAGTGCCTTTAAGAAGGCAGAATAGAAAATGTTTATTCACCATGAAATATTAAATGTTATCAAACTGATGCAGCAGGATTTGTCAGTTCAAGGTGTTTGTTCACCAGTAAAATAAAGGTGTTACAATTTCCAATGCTACAAACCCAGTGCAGGTCCTGAGAGCTTCTCTGGCCCTTTCATTCTCCTGTGTCACATAGAGCAAAATAACCTCAGGTCAGGCTCTGTCCAAGCAAGATGCTGCGGAGAGTGTGCAGAGGAGCACAGCACATTGCCAACATGAGCATCGTCGCTGCTCTGGGCCAGGTTAGGCTAGGAAAAAGGTGTATAAAAGGGCTGAATATGCAAAAGGAAGAGGTTAATCTCGGTTTGGGAATGAACGGTATCAACTCTGACGTTTCAGAGCCAAGCAGCACTATGGAATACTTAATTCAGGTTAAGATTTCTGTTCAAATAAAAAAGTAATCTCTTGTTTAGTTCTTTATGTTTCAAAATATTAAAGGCCTGAATGAAAGTTGTAGCTCCTGAAATGCCCAGTGGTTTTCACGTGGGAGAACTTGCCTTATTTTAGCTTCCATCACAGACAAAGGAAAATGGTAATATAAAGCTGCTGTATTTTGTAGATGGGTTTTCATTTCAGTACTTTTCAAAGTAGCCCTTAAAAGAGGGACACACAAATCACATTTTAGGGTATGAAGCAAACAATGAAGCATTTTGGAAGGCAAGGCCAGACCTTTTCTTCCAGTGTCAGATGGGTATTCCAGTTTACTAGTAGGTCAATTCCTTTGCGAAGTTCTCTCCCATATGGATTTGGATTTCTGTTCCCACTGTCCCTGCCTCAAATTTAACTCTACACAGGAGAGGCTTGGAAGATGCTTTCTGCAGACCAGGACTTGGCAAGTCTATCTAGTGTTAGATTTCCTTTCTGCCACTTGCTATAGAATGAGAATTGGCAAAACACTGTTTTCCAAGGGAAGAATTAGAAGTTGAATTCCATTAAGCAAAGTGCCTTGTTTGTAAAGATTAGGAGAGATGCCAGGAGATGACAAGCATGTATCAGCAATGGCCCATAATTTATTGCCAGTGCTAGTAATATGCATGAATGTTGTGTCCTTCAGCTAGTGCATCTTCAGGCCAACGAGGGAAATCCAACATCAGTCTTTCTCTTGAGAACAGCTGAGTTCAGAGTGCAACAAATCAGCAGTACAGAGAGAGATTCACATTTTCCCCCAACATCCAAATACTTAAATATACTGTATTTAGCACCCTTTTCCCAAAACAGGATCATGTGTTTATATAAAAGTGACTTCTGTTTGGACCCTGCAAACTTGCTAATCCACAACATAGAGCACAGTAGAGTTGAAACTATAGATGGTAGTGGAATCAGTGTTCTTTTACTACTGTTACCCTTTCTGAAATCATTGTTTTCCCTCCCCTTCTCTTCTTTCTAACAGAGGATGAACAGAGAGAGAAATCTGTCTCCCACCACACTGTTCAGCAGCTGATAGTGGAGAAGGAACAAGCATTGGCAGATCTGAACTCAGTGGAGAAGTCACTGGCAGATCTTTTCAGGAGATACGAGAAAATGAAAGAAGTATTGGAGGGGTTTCGGAAGGTGAGTCCTGTTAAAGTCCCTTCCTTCAAAGACCAAAGCAGAGCAGGCTCTTGTGTGTACCAGTTCTGCTTAACAGAAAGCAGGACTTTGTTTCCAGTTGAATCTGATGTACTGCATTAGAGTGCAGTGTGCTGGGGGAGGGAGAACATGACTGCTCATTTGTGCTTTCCCTTTGGAATAGCTTTAAAAAGATGGAGATTTTCCACAGGAGCACCTTCTTCCCACCTGTGACACTGTGATTTCAGTAGATGTCACATAATCTGGAGAGGGGCTTTTTACAAGGGCCTGTAGGGACAGGCTTTAACCTGCCAGAGGGGACACTGAGATGAGCCCTGAGGCAGAAGCTCTTCCCTGTGAGGGTGCTGAGGCGCTGGCACAGGGTGCCCAGAGAAGCTGTGGCTGCCCCATCCCTGGCAGTGTTCAAGGCCAGGTTGGACACAGGGGCTTGGAGCAACCTGCTCTAGTGGAAGGTGTCCCTGCCCGTGGGCAGGGGTTGGAACTGGGTGACCTTTAAGGTCCCTTCAACCCAAACCAGTCTGGGATTCTATGACTTGAGCCCATGTCAGGGCTGGCTTCTGGTCTGAGCATTCTATTCAGTGCTAGACTGAAGCCCTTAAAATATCTGAGTGTAACTCCCACAAATAGGTGCCTGTCCTCCACTTCAACCTCTTGGATTATATTGAATGTAATCTTCTCATTTTAGAATGAAGAAGTGTTAAAGAAATGTGCACAGGAATATTTATCACGAGTGAAGAAGGAAGAACAGAGGTATCAAGCACTCAAAATTCACGCTGAGGAAAAACTGGACAGGTAAGTGATTGTACCCCTCTCTCTTCAGTTCATGCTGCGGGAGTATTCGTGGGTAGACCTTGTATCCCAAACCTGCTCCTTCAGTGCACAGAGCACAGGTTGCTCAGGGATGGAGGGTGGAATGAAACACCATAATGAGTATTTCTGTGATGTGCTGGTGTTTCTACCAGCTCCTGATCATACTGAACACCTTAAATTTCTATCTTTATCAAATGTCTTCATGTTTCTTTAACGTATTTTCCAGGGAAGAAGGAGAAGGAAGCCATTAGCTAGGTTTATGCAGTGGTGGAGGGCTGTTCTCAGATATTTGCACTTGCAGCCAGTATTCCTGCCCCCAGAGATTTGCTATTGCCCCTGTGCTGTGTTAGTGCCCTGCATCAGTCAGCAGAACAGAACATGTAAGTGCAGCTCAGACCTTTCAGTGCAGGATTAGTTTCTCCTCAGTAACACCAGTTATCTGGGCTGGGTCAGCCCAACTTGTGCTGAGGGTGACAAGGAATAGTCATACAAAAGAATCATGCCAGATGTGCATGGATATTAACTCCTTAAATCACCCCTAAGGAGAGAACATTAGGTTGTGGCTTAAGCCACAGAGAGGCAGCTCTGGGTGACTTTTTTTGTATGCTTCCATGTAACGGGCAGTTAAGCATTTCCAGGAATTCCACTCAGGACTCATATACAGTCCCCATGACCCAAGACATGTTTCCAAAATGCCACTAGGATTGATCAGTGCCTACAACAAAGTAAAACTTGGATTTGCTTTCCAGCTGTTGTCCCAGTTATGAGCCTGCTCTGTAAGATCTGGAGGTCATGTTTAGAAGCTGCCATAAAACACTTCTTCTGAAGTGATGTCTGTGACCCCAGCACAGATATCTGAGAGAAGCATGGAGGAGATGACATAGACATTAAGAAAAGGCTTTGCAGCCTCTGCTGAGCAAGAGAGGGAGTCGTGAGAAGCCTCTAGGGACAAGTCTCTCAGTACTTTCCAAGACATGCATCTGTTAAGACAGGGTCCATCCTTTGGTACCCACTGTCCTTCCCTGTATAGAACATGATGTGACACAAATCTGTGTTTTTCTAGAGCCAATGCTGAAATTGCACAGGTGAGAGGCAAGGCTCAGCAAGAGCAAGCAGCGTACCAGGCCAGCCTTCGTAAAGAGCAGCTCAAAGTGGATGCATTGGAAAGAACACTGGAACAAAAGGTAAACAGCCATTCAGCTTTTTTAATGCAGAACAGCGTGACCAAAATTAAGTGAAACATGTAATTCCAGTGCTGGCTTATGTGCCTCCCCTGTTAACACAGACAACATGATCAGATACATAGATCTGTACAGCTTAGGGCAAAAAGAGCTGTAGGAAATCCCTGTTTATATCTCCTGTTCTCTAGCACAGCAAAGGAGCTTGTTTTCAGTACAGGACAGCTCGTCCTTGCTTAGAGCCCCTGGAAAACAGGGTGACAATAACGCTCTAAAAGTGCAGCCTAGAAATACATTTACACTATGTGGTGTTATTGTATGCTAGGAATAACTGCTGTAAAGCTGTCTGCTTTAGTGCTGAATTGTTATGAAGGCAGAGGAGATGCATATGGAAATATGCATAGTGTTTGAATGCACTATAGGTAGCTCACTATGTATATATATATATATAAAAAAATATATGTACATATGTCTCTCTATATGTACAGATATTCTGTTTCAGGACTGGAGAAAACTTCATTATCCCAACTTCTCCCAGATACTTAATAATGCCTTTTATTTTCCAGAACAAAGAGATAGAAGAATTAACAAAGATCTGTGATGAACTGATTGCCAAAATGGGGAAAAGCTAACTTCTAACCAAATTTCTGGACTTCAATATTGAGTGCAATATGACCATTGGCACACTGATGTCCATACATTTATGTGGACAGGTTATATTTTCACTTTTTCGTATGCACTACTGTATTTTCTTTCTAAATAAAGTTGATTTAATTGTATGCAGTACTCAGATGACTATCAGAATTTCTTGCTATTGTTTGCATTTTCATAGTATAATTCATAGCAAGTTGATCTCAAAGTTCCTGTATCAGGGAGATTGTCAAGTTCTCTAATTACAAATTGCTGATCCTAGCCTTCCCTTTGTACATGAGTTCCCATGTTGGATGTCTTTTGGATTTAATATAAACATGTATTACTTGCATGGGGACTCTTGCCTTAAGGAGCATAAACTTTATCTGCATTTGCTGATTTGTAAAATAAAATTAAAAATGGAAGAAAAAAAAAGGAAATGCATGTCACTGAAATGAAATTCTCTATTGTAAATAAATTTTTTCGTTGAAAGTTGAAGATGAGAATGGTTCTGGTTTATGGACTTCACTTACTTCTTGCGCAGCTCTGATTAATGAATTCCTTTGCAGAAAGCACTTCGGGGGTCACTCACTGCTTGGAGCACTCTGTGGGGCACAAGAATATCCCACTTATGTGTACATATCTGTGTCAGTATCTTGCTCTCTCTATAAATATATATGTATATGCTAGATTTGGACCACTCAAGGTCTCAAGAACAAACTTAATCCTCCAAAATATTTAATGCTCTGACCCTGATCCAGCAAATCCCACAGGGAGATGTGATGAGGCTGTTTGCACAAGTCAAAGGCAGTGACATCTATCACTGAAAGGTGAACGCATTTTCTTCTTCCTGCCCCTGGAAGCATTTGCCTGCTGGGTTTGTGGAGATGAAGTACGTGTGCTTAGCAGTACAACCAGAATAAGCTCGATAAGTAGCATTCTTGGACACCTCTTTATCCTGTAAGTTATCCTCTGCAGAGGATTAGATATGTAAGAGAAGCATTAAGGCTTTAATAGCAAACAAACTGCTTGCTTTGCTTAATGGTGCATCTCTTGTATCTCCATGATGTGGACAGTCTTCAGCCTGGTTCTTGTCAGCTGCCTTTTTGTACTCAAAAGTAAGTCAACAACCTTTTCTTTCCTTTTTTAGTTCATTTCCGACTTCAGGCATGGCTGAGCCTCTTTGCTGTTCTGGGCTTTCTCTCCTGGCTTTGTTTGGTTTGAGATTATTTTGTGGATGTGGTTAGCAGCTCAGAATATCACCTCTGCTGTGTAATGTCAACATCAATATCTATGTTAACAGCAGGAAGCGTGCCTTCTGCTCTGCAAGTTTCGAGTATGGTATTTGAAATAGATTTCAAATTCATGCTTGCCTTTGAAACTACCATGTAGTTGGAACCAAGAAAAAGAGGATTGAGTTACGATTGTGATGTTTAAGCAAAAGCAAAACTTGAAGTGCACTCTTGTGCCTTCCAGCTGAATTCATACTTTGGGAGAAAATGAAATCTGGATCATAGTAAGATTTTTTTGTGTTTAAAATATCCTTTTTTATGGTACTATGGACCAAAGATCATGGAGGGGAAAGGGGGAAACATGATGCTCCAACTCATTACAGTGGCCTCTGCTCTGAAAGTGTTACGAGAAGGTGTGGATGCAATTACAGAAGTAATAATATAAGTTCTCATATTATTTTAAGTGTAATTGTAACAACTACATAATATATGGCTGATTTTATTTTAATCTTTAAAATCAGTATCTGGACCACCTCTAAAAAAGAAAAATTAGGAGGATTTGCAAATCTTTGGATTTTTTAAAACCTTTTTGCATTTTTTTCCATGTTATTCAAAGAAAATTAGGAAGACTGTGTAGCTTAACATTTAAGATATTTTTGGTAAACTCAGTACCCTACTGTTACAAGTGGTCTTTTTCTCCTTAATGACAGGTGAAGCACTGCAGTGTTACACCTGTGTAGGTTCTAGTGATGAAGACTGTAACAGACAAGGAACTCAGCAATGTCCAGGGCATTCAGATGCGTGCGCAATCATTAGAGGACAAGCAAGTAAGTAGTCGCCAACAGTTCAGACTCATTACGTGTTTAATAGTAGAAATAACTAATCAGTGTTGGAAAGAGAAGAGTATATATAAGCTAAGGAGAAAAACAAAGGGAAATGTTTCTCTTAAAATAAATCCTATTAATAAATAAACAACCTGCTCTAGTGGAAGGTGTCCCTGCCCATGGCCGGGGGTTGGAACTAGATGAGCTTTAAGGTCCCTTCCAACCCAAACCATTCTAGGACTCTATGAAACCCTGTTAATAAATCTCAATCCCTAATTTTAATGTGATACAAAATCCCACTGAGTATGATGTGCCTCAATGTGCTGTATCCACACTATGTGAAAGCTGTAAAAAAACAGTTTAAGTATTACCCACTTCTTACTTAAATCTGTTGTTTATAAGGACTTTAGAAGTTAAAGGGCTTGCCTGGAAATTAGGAAGGAAAAGAAGCTAATAAGGCACTGCACTTGAGCATGTTCAGATGTATTTAAGCTGCAGCAGTTGCATCTAAGATAAATTAGTTATTTAACTTCAGTGGGAGCTGGTTAGTGTGCTGTAAGCTGATGCAGCTCTATCCATTGACTTCTAAGGAATGGCCAAACCTAACACTGTTGCTCAGTGTTGGATGGTCAGATTCGTGCTGAGGAGATGCAAAGAGGAGTGGGTGACCATGACCATGAAGGTCCTTTTGGTTCACTGTGGCTCTGTTCTAGGTGGCATTATGAAGTCCTGTTCGTTCAGGTCCTTCTGCGAGCGGGCAAAGAGGGATGGATCCAAAGCGCCTGGAGTGAGCGTTCAGTGCTGCTACTCAAACAACTGCAATGCAAAGAGCCTGGCTTCAAGGGTCACCACCTCCACGAGCTACTTCTCTCTCCTCGTCTTTACATTGCTGTGGCACCCACTGTTGAAGCTGACATGAGGGAGGAATGAGTCTCCTGAAGCAACAAGTCTGCCTTCTTAGAAAGGGATGTTTATATTTCCTAATCACTTCACTCCATGTACTCCATGTTACTCCATGACCATTTCTTCGTAGGCAAAAAGCAGTAGGCAGACCTGACAGATGTCCAGATAAAAGTTGCTCCATCTGCTAAATATGTCTTGACCTATATGTAAGAAACGCAGCCCTCTTCTTGTTTAAAGCAAGGGATTGATTGTATGAATATCTCACATTTTCCTACTCTTTAGGGAAGGAGAAATCTTAGCTGCAAGTAGCCTTGTAGTAGGGCAAAGGACCAATATCTTCCAAATGCTGTTTACTGTTGGCAGACATTCAAAACAAGCTACAATTTTCAAGCACAGTGTATCTGTAGCTAGTAGGCAGGTGGTCCTCCGAAGTAGTAATGTTGAAAAGGCAAAACGAGAAGTGACATCCCACACAATGTGCTAGCACTAAGCAGGGTCTTGGGTCTGTGATGCTGGAGAGCAGGGTGGTACCTCCTTTCATTCAGAACTCGGGGAGACAGACAAGCAGGTGAGTGATATTTGTAGATTTTAATGTCCATCTGTGATGATCTGGTCTAATCTCTGGCACAGAATACGCACAGGACTGGCTTAAAGTCCAGCTGGTGTAATTGAAGTAGAGGTGGTCTTTCGAGTTCTAGTTTTAGATGTCCATTTGGGAAAAGTTTTGGTTGTCAAGTTTATGGAACTCACAAAATACGTGGCAAAGTAGCTTTTTCTACTAGTTTTTGTGTTGTGACTTTTTTTGGGTACAATTCTTTGACAAGGCAGTGTGTCACAGAATCCTGCACATTCACAGAGATGTTATGAAGGCTGCAAACTCTAGAGAGCTGCTTCAAGTGAAATCAGTGAAACCTCCACATAGACCATAACCCCAGCCTGCCTTAGCTGTTGCCTGTCACATGGACCAAACTGTCTTTGTTTCTTTGTACTTGTTCCTCTACATGGATCCTTCCATCATCCCACGTAGATTGTGGCTTGAGACTGGGACTATTATTCTTCTGGGGCTTTGTTCAAATGGGCTCTCAGACGAGGCAGTTCTGGTCTATACTTAGTTGTTAGGCGCAAGTCTGATGAAGCTGTTGAATATAAAGATTGCAACAATGCAGCAGATCTTGGCTGAGAATGTTAATTTAGACTTAAATATCTGTATAAAATCCACTTAAGCTGGTTTGAGTGTTTTTCGTTTCATCTCAGCTTGAACTGGTTCCTTCAAACTGCTCTGCTGCAGGATTATGTCTTTCTTTTCTAAGTGTTGTGTAATGATAAAGCCATATTGAATGTCATCTCTGTCTATGCTCAGTGCACTTCCTTAACGAGAAAATAAAATGCATGTGATGGCTGAGAATGTCTCTTGATAAACAAAACTGCATCTTCCATGTGGGATTTCCCACTAGCAGGAATTCCAGCTTCTTTTTCTGTGGGTTGTATTTCTTTAATCTGTAAGATGAAATAGTGAATGTTGATAGTCTTCTTACTGTGATATTTCCCTGATGAAATAGGAAGGTGAGGCTCTATCCTCTTGACAAACACCATCTGTTACTCCTGACAGCAGCCAGGACTCAGATCTTCAGCCTCCCACCGCCTCGGGTCGATTCTGCCACCCAGCACATAACATTTGCCTTTACAGGGCTGACATTTTTCCTGCCCAATGATGAACCTGAAGTGCATGTATAGACCTAGAAATGATAAACCATATTTATGGATGGATGGATGATGTTGAAGGGGTTTCACAATGGTTCTTGGCATAAACACTAACAGGAAGACAAGCGCAGAAAAAAATGTGCTTGGGACAAAAAAGAAGGAATATTTGTTAAACTCTCTTAGAAATACAGAAAATATCTTAAAGTTTCCATTGCCATGTCTGTGCAGAGCAACTCCCAGTCATATGTAAAGTAGAAAGGGATTGTCTTTAGTTTGGTTATTCTAGAATCTAATCATTCCCGGCGCAGTGGCATACTCTGTCTTCCTTAATGCTGACAGACAGTTGGAACAAAAGGAGCAGAAACTGATAATGAAATGCCTTCTGCTGCAACAGAAAATGACAGGACTTCTTTATCGTGAGTTGAATCACTGTGATGCACCAGTTGGGTAAGTACCGGGTTTGAATTTAACGTTACCCTCTCACCTTCAAGAAAGGATCTGCAAAGCAAGAGATTTGTAATTTCTAAGTGAGAAAATCATAGAATCATCAGAGAATCCCCTACTGGTTTGGGTTGAAGGGACCTTAAAGCTCATCCAGGTCCAAGCCCTGCCACGGGCAGGGACACCTTCCACTAGAGCAGGTTGCTCCAAGCCCCTGTGTCCAACCTGGCCTTGAACACTGCCAGGGATGGGGCAGCCACAGCTTCTCTGGGCACCCTGTGCCAGCGCCTCAGCACCCTCACAGGGAAGAGCTTCTGCCTCAGAGCTCATCTCAGTCTCCCCTCTGGCAGGTTAAAGCCATCCCCGTTGTCTCTGTTACAACTTGTAAGACTTACA